GATGCTTCGGCCTCCCGATTTTGACTCGCCCGTGTATGCTTTTGAGCATTTTCTTTTCCATTTTCGATTCCCCTTCGACCAGAAAGCAAAGCCATGTCTTTCGTACTGCCTCTCCTCGCTTCCATCGACAAGGAGAAGCGGGGAATTACTCCATCAACTTCTTTCTCGTGCAATCTGATTCTTCAACCTTCCTCCGACGCAGTAAGAGTGGCGAGTCTACGTCGTTACCAGGTGAAAGTCGATGCTCGGAACCACGTCAGACGGACTAGCCGAGCTTCCGATACGTGGACAATACTGTACTGTACTGCCTCCACAATGAGCAGACTTAATTCTGATTTATGATTCGCCGGGTCTACGAACGGCGACAACGTGAGCAGGTGCTCTTTTGTGGTCCCCTACACTGCTTTGCTTTCTGTCCTGCCCTGTCCAGTCCAGTTTCCCCACTGATTATTGGATGGATGCCACGGTATGTTATGATTCAATCTACTTCTCACGAGCAAATCCAAGTCCAATATATCTGGTCGAATATGAGGTGCATCCCAGCTCCTCTACTGAATCTTTTGATTCCTACTTTCTGATGTACTACCGTATGGGGAATCGTTGTAGATTCATAAGGAATATCTAAACGGAGGCGAGCGTTTGCTGAGTAAGAAACAAAATAATATTCGCTGAGTTCATATATATCAGGGAATATTTTTCAATATCTTCATAATATCTAGACACATCAAACGTACACACATAATACTCCGAATCCACTTATATTAAGTTACTTACACATGTGCGAAGTCTCCCAAATGACCCTCAGATTAGTAAATCACAAAATCTTCAGTTATACAAACATGTGGATCGGTTACCACGGAGAGCTGGGTTAACTTTTGAACCAAGAAAAGCTTAATTTAGAGAATCACACAACAAAGGAAGGGTTTCGAGTTACAACCCTTCTTAAACCTCTCAGCCTGTCTCTCTCACTTTCATCCTGACGGGCAGAAGAGACCTGTAGTTGGTAAGCGTTGAATTTGTGTTCGAACAGATGAGAAAACTGAGGGGGAGGACCATGGAAGCTTCTAAAATTAAATGATTTCAGTAAAAGACCAAAAAATTGTAATTATCCTGTCTCTACTCTGCGTTTTAACCGCTTTTTTGCTTCTTCTTCATCTTTATTTAGCAATGAGCGATATTTGATACATCCAGTGTGCCAAGTGCATGACATGAGAACAAGGCGCAGCAGCACAGTCTTATACCCAAAGTACCATACAAGCAATCAAGAGGCCAATAACTTGATGAGAAATACTCTCTTGCAACCTCAAGGACAATACGCTGTCTTGGGATCCTTGTACAGTATGCAAATTAACCTACGCTAAACCTTATATTCCAATTAATTGACTATTCATTACATCCGCATAATGAATAATTTGTAAAGCTATTAGCATCCGATATATATATATATATATATGAAAAAAATTGTCATGAAAATTTATTATGAATGTAGTATTAATGGAAAGTCAAATCGTTTTTACGGAACTGAAACGTATTCTTCATCTTCTTCCAAGAATAAAATTTGAACTGGTGCTCATGAATATGTGTTATTGTAAATTTGAATAATGGTGGGTGGAAATTTACGTGGCTTAATTGTGTTCTCTTGTGCGATGATTCAACCCTAGTATATAATGTTTCATACTGGAAAAATATTTTATGTTTTTCATGTGTGACAATTGATGCATTCAGATATTAAATGACACAAATATCTTTGTTGTTAAACATAATGAATGTGCTAAAAACTTACCATAAATTAGCCAATGAGAAGATTTTGAAGAAAATACATTGAAAAGAGCATTTTCGTTTTATCGTTTTCAAAAAAGAATCACTTTTCATTTCGAGTTTTTGAAACAACACAAATGGGCTTCCATTCCTAGTTTTTGGAACAAGATGAAAAGTTTTCGTACAAGATACGGAGAGGCGTGAGTTATATCATAGTATCAGTATTTATTTACTCATTATAGCATAACGACTTTCATACTTGACGCTGTAAGCTTGTGAGAACTCATATACATGATTTGCAACCTCCCATAAGTTTGGTATGGGTCGATATATTTCAAATTTATCCTGTAGTCAGACTCATCAAATATTTCCAAAGGACGTCTGGACAGAATTAATAAAGATGCTCTTTAGTATCTCCTCTTTTGTGCGCCGATAGACGTAAGTAAGATATTCAGCTTTATTTGCTCCCAAAGCTACGCAGATATTGTGTATACGGTACGTGAAAGATCCAAAATTAACTTTGTTTTCTTGCCAAAAAAGTAGAAAAGCGGCTATATCATAAGTAAAATGTAAAATGTGTAACTTTCTACTTTGTGACCCATCACATTCCTGGAAGAATAATATGGCAGCTGAAGATATAGCTCCCACGATTCTGTAGGGCATCACATCATGTACACTCGGCAATATCTGATTATATGGATCAAAGGCGATGTAGGCCATGCTGTATAAGATTATAACTTCCGTTGCATGGAAAGTTCACCATGACTTTTATCCAATAATACGAATGAATCAGACGTTAAATCCTATCCAGCTCAGGTGCTGGAGCTTGAGCAGATTCTCTAAGTTGTGATAAGGACAGCCTCGATTTGTTGATCCACATGGGGATTCAGTCTAGGATACAACATGAGAAACATGACTCATGAGCTAATTGTGAAGAAAATTGTAAATAATTCCTTTAAAAACAAGGATTCCAAGATATTTTATATCGTAGATATTTTTTCATGTCCGAATCTTTTTTTTTAAATCAACTTAAATCAAGTGTCATGTTATATATTGTTTGGAAAAACAAAGTCATGTATATGGAAGCCAATTTTGTGCGTGAAAATTTTGACCGGATTATATTGGGATATGTATTAATTTTAGATCTCGCGGGACTGGACAGGTTACTCCCAACTGCTCTCCAATTGCTGTATGTGGTGTAATTTAAAATCCGTAAAGTAGCTCACAGGACATGATTAGGTCAATTCGCGGGGAAAAGGGGCACTCAATGTTCAATTGCCGGATAGATTAGATGACAAAATGTTGACAAGACTTTGATAAAAAAAGTCGTACAGAGTGAAGCTGAATAGTGGTAAGAGTAATGATGAGTGGCCAGTGATGTGCGCACCATGATTCATACTCATGGTCCAGTGACCACTGGATGTCATGCAATTCTTGCAAGCATGCAGACGAAATCGAGAGCCGGAACATGAAGGTCTACATGATCTATGAATTTACCGCCTCATAGCACAAATGAACTCGACTTACGTATCAAACGCAGGGCGAGGATGAGGCTGTGAGAATATTATTGGATGTGTTTGGTTACGAGGTGGTAAATCTCTGGTATCTGATCTGATTCAGCAAGATCAGTACACTAGCGCTATCCCAGATGATTGCAATCTTCTTCTTACCCTTGATGGGTGCGAGACCAGGTGTTACTGAACGATGACTGCGTTTTGATTTGTTATTTTGTAATCTTCTCTACAGACTCTACTAGATGACTCAGCAGTTATACATGGGAATGATTTCCTCGGGTCAGCTTCTTAAGAATAGTTCATTATCCCAAGATGCATTTATTACGTAAAACATCAACACAGAAGGAACATGGTTGTTCCCCAAATAACACGAGACGAGCAGAAACAAGCTTTCATGTAAACCAAGTCCGACTTCTGAAACAAAGTTTTAAGAAGTTGTCCATGTAAGTATAATTGCTGGACAAAATTTGTACTAGTTTGTCGGAAAAAAATAATTAGGTTCATATATAACGGTATAACGAAAATTGGGGTGAAGATGAATCGTAACGTTAGAACTAAGAACATCTTATAAAGTTACTACCACTCTGCAAAAACGGTAGTCCCTTTTTAGCCATTTGGAGCATATATGCGCCCATTTTGAACAGTCCGTCTTAATGTTCCGCCGCGCTTAAAATCAAGTGAATCCCTCGTTTGAGATAGCTTTTTCGGGGCATATTAATTGACTTGACAAAAAATTTTCCTTAAGGGGTCCATCGACTTGGTATTTCTAAAATTTCACTGACTGGGGTTGATTCAAAATAAACCAAACTTTATCACATGCTTTGCAAATTTGAGATTACTGTAGACTCTGCATGAGGTCGAATACATAGGTGAGAGTGTACACGGGGAAGAGCATAGACATGTCATTATGTGAATGGGAAATGAGCGAAGCGTTTGACTTCCGAGGTGGACACTTGCTCAATACCGAAGTCTACATGTCAGATTCAAACTTTTGCGTCGTCTAATTAAAAAAGCCGTATGGGACAGTTGGAATAACAAACGCGATGAAAAAGTCATCAACAAGAATGCAATGGAAAGGCAATAAAGAAAGTCCTGCTCCATGGGCACGGGAAAATCAAACGAGGTAATCACTCTCATGATAAGTCGTTTTTCACCTACGTTGCCTCTCCTGTGCGAAATCCAGGGTACAAACAAGAGTGTACGGACCTGAACAAGTATACGTACCTAGCAAAGCAAACCTTCAGCTCAATGGTGGAGGCCAATGCTCCTTGTAAAATCAGACGCACTAAAAATCTACATCACTGTCCACAAAAGGACAAAGACATTGGTGCCCCATGTCTATCGACATGATATGTGTGGGCACACTCGCCACAATACCATTCCATGTCATGTCTCGGATATCGTGCATATCTAAAGCCAATGGATGACAATGGGACACACTTGTTAATCCCGTTCATCAACTATCTCTCCCCACATGCCTTCCAACTGGAATTCGATAACATTGTGAGTTAATGTTTGACAAATCAAGTTAGCTTACTATCGATGCTCGTTGGAGCAAATATAACATACAATGTATTATTATGTATGTCATTCGTATAGTAGTTACTTTATCCACCGTAAGACACAATCAGTTTGCCGTATTTATATAGTGGAGGGACAACGTATTTCACGTAAGTTTTATGCGCTTAATATTAAACAGCTTGCAGGTTTTGGACAACATCAACTCACCTCATCCTCAAGTCATACGGTCAACTCTCTTCGTACATATTCGTTGCAAGTGCTTTTTCTGCACTCGTGATAACTGAGTCACTAGTGCAGAAAAAATAGGCCATAATTAGGCATTGTTGCACTCAAAGAGGTGTCGAGATAGGAACTAATTTTTTATATACAAACTCCGAGAAGTACAACAAGCCAGGCTACTCCCTTGGGGATGAACTTAGGTAGATTCGACCGCAATAAGGTCGAATCGATGGATCAATGCAGCAATTGTTCGTTAAGCTCGTTGGACGATGCAGCCCACGGTCTAGCATGCCAAAGGTAGGGCCCAGAGGAAGCGACAACCGCAGGAAAAGGAAAGATCAGATCTCTGAAAACCTTGCGAAAACCACTATGAAAAAAAACCGGAGATTGTAGAGGATGCAGCGCACCGGAGGTAAGCTGAAAGCGGATGATTAAGTTGATTACGAAATTCTTGCCTGATTTTTCCCGGTTCGCCGAATGGTTTGCCCATTCCATGCAGAACAGACGGGAGCATGTCATGGCATGCCATGTCATGACAAGGAATGATCAAAGGATCGGCGATGGCAGACAGGCGATGGCAGGGAAAGGTGCGATAGGGTCGTGTCCTAGGCACTCCTACCTCCACAGCGAGAGGACAAAGCGTGGATCCTAACTGGGAAACACAAGCAGCGACAGCAGAGAGGGGAGAATACTTCCTCCTCCATCCGTGGCAGTTCATGCGCTCAAATTTGGACGCTGCTGAGCCTTGCGAGCCCGGAAAAATCTGAGCAGACGTAAGATGAGGCCTTTGAACTTTGCGATCAATGACAAGCCAGGACATGCAATTCTCCAGAGGTGACAGTTTACTCCAGACGGCAGAACCAACTGGCACAATATTGTTTCTATATGCTTCTCACATCCACCCACGCCCCTGCTGGCAAAGAACCCTAAACCCCGACTTCTCCTCGACCTTCGTCACACAAATCTGGGAACTGGTGGACATGCAACTAGCTCGGGTCCTTTCCGTTATGATCCGGACAACGAGCCCAACTGGCACAGCCTTCGAACCCTTCCGCAGAATGCGAGCTAAGACAAACATGGGGCAAAAGGCAAATCGCCCCGTCCTCCACATGCCCTCCCTCATCCACAACTTTCCGCGTCCTCTTCCTTTCGTTCGTTCTTGCTCTTTCCAATCGAGGAAGGAAACCCTTCTTTAATTGGAAACCGGATCTCCCTACACCTCGACCCTCATCCACAACTTTTTCTGCCTTCTTCTGCGTTCGCTCTCAACAGCAAACCTTTCCTCCACGGGAATTTGGAATCGCCATTGTCCTACACCTCATCCCCATTTCGCAACATTCTGCCCGTAACGGGAAAGCCTTTTTACTTAATTAGAAACGGGACGAGAGCCCTAAGTTTGCCTAACGGAAGGAGCGAGCGAGTTCTTCGCCGCATTCGACCTCACAAGGGATGAGATCGCCCCATGAGGCGATCCGATTTCGGGATACTCTAGGTCGAGTCTTCGATACATGTACTGGACAAGGCGCGCACATGCGATATTAAGAGGCTTTCCCTCATCACGGATCGTTGTCTCCCATTACTCCATAAAGACGGACAGCAGTCTCGGATTGGACGGGCCCCATCTAGAACTGTACGAAGTCGAGCGAGAGCGAGCGAGACATGGAGAGAGAGAGATTACTGTAAACAACTCGAATCAATCGCATCACTGGACGATTTAATAACCACCAACCTTTTGTCTTTCATGAGGCCCGCCTTCGCGAGCTCCAGCAGATACTCTGCGGTCAGAATGGACATGCAATTCTCCGACGATCGTGTGTGTGTCTGTTGCGGCAGCCATCGCTACATCACAGTACGCTGCGCTATAGACCGCGCTGCACTAGTTGCCAAAACTCGCGAACATGATTAGCGACGTCCGGTGGCTCGCTCGGATGCGGACGCAAAATTCGAAATCATTCTCACGCTCGCGAAATATCCTGCCCGAATAAAAAACTGTAAACCAGCCGGAAATCGATAACCTTGAGGAGCGTCGAGGCTCGGGGAGCTGACTTTGAGCCGTCCATGCAATATCTCTCGCTCGGTGCCGTCTTGTCTTTTGACTTGACTTGGACCTGATTCCAGATGCACCTCCAAAAGCTGCACGCCCGTTGAGTATTTTAAGCGCGGCGCAGCGTTTTTTAAGGCGCTGAAATTCCAGCCCAGCTGTTGTTCCACTGGCCCTCGCTCGAGCGTCTTCGTTCCTTCGCCTCCAGCTGTTGCCCCTTTTACTCCAGCTGTTGCCCCTTTCCCCCTTTTCGCTCGACACCCCAAAAGCTCCATTTCCAGCCCATTGTACCATCGCCCCTTTTCGCTCTGCTGCTCTCGCCTTTCCCAAAGCCTCCTTCCTCTGCCTACATACGATCTCCCCTTCTTACTTTCCGCTCCTCATTTTCCCCTCTCGTCTTATTATTATTATTATTGGAGCAAGACAAAGCAAGGTTGCGATTTATCCCTTTCCTTGTGGCCCTTTCAGCCCTTTTTATAACTTTAAAAATAAAAAGGGCCTAAAATTTTTATGGTAAATAAAATGGCCAATATGTTAAATAAAATGGCCTGAAAGGTGAGGCGAGGCGAGGCTGCAATTTATCCTTTTCATTGTGGCCCTTTCAGGCCTTTTTCTACCTTAAAAATAAAATTGCTTAAAAATATAAATGTTAAATAAAATGGCCAATATGTTAAATAAAATGGCCTGAAAGCTGAGGCGAGGCGAGGCGCGGCGAGGCTGCGATTTATCCTTTGCCTTGTGGCGCTTTCAGATTTCTGAGGTGGCTTCTGAAAAGCTAGAGTGGATCTAAAGTGCGAGTTTGTATCGTACGATGTTTGCTCCCGTTCGGGATTCCAATTCTATTTTTTCCCTCGATTCTTCCCGTTGCTCACTCGCACTCGGCTGGCGTTGCGTGAAGACGACATTCATTTTGGGTGATTCATTATTGTCTTGTTTTAGGACTTCGGAGGACTCGATAGAAAGGGGATTGATTGACTTGACTCTTGGGGAGCTTGTACTATTTCCGGCTAAATCATACGCGACGCTTTCTCTTCTCTTTACTCCATACTTTCATGCGAATGACAAGGTGTAAGACAGTTTTCTTTCCTTGATCTCGGATTTTCACCAGAGAGTATAGTTCCTACCATTCTTCCCGGAAGAATGTCAAGATTTGATTTCGAGTAATAGTAATATGAGTATAGACATGGAATATTTGATCGTTTTAACCTCCGATGAACGAGTCAATCTGAATTCGAGATCCAAACAGCTGTGCCAAGAATCTTTGTGTAGAAAGTTCGCCATGCATAATCTTCTTCTACTTGGGGCTATCAGACAAGAGCTATATACCAACAAACTATTACGGGACTGGAGTGAATCCCAACGAATATTTATGCAACGAGGTAAGTGAAGTAAAGATACTCAAAATTTTCAGTGAAAAGCTTTGTGAATCAACATAGTCAGCAAAACGTTTTGGATGTGTTGGTCTGTTCATATAATTTAAGTTGTTAAGTCTTTGAGTGTTGTTTAAAGGACTTCCCAGTAAAGATACAACCATATGTATAACATTGTCTCGGGACTTCCTTGACAGTTTAAAGGTGTTTCTTATTCTCCAATATAATATTATAAGTGGATAGAAGATAAAAAAAAAATCATACTGTGAAGAAGCATGGAATGAATTATAACGGTAATGAAGACATGTCTATCACCATTAACGTTACATATATATATGGGGTTCTGATAGTTCTATTGGCCGTTACCAAGAATATAATGGGTGCTTTTCTACAAACACCTTAGACATTCAAGGGTAACTCACATATCATCAAATTTCGTTCTTAAGAATTTTAGAATCTTGAATATCTTATATATTGAGCTATTTCATTCATTGTTGTAAACTGCTAATACCGTAAGTTCCCTTCCAGGACCACTCTACTTAACAATTTAATAACGAGGCATACCTGACCCATAACCGTATTAACTCTAAGCGAATCCTGTAAAAAGGCTAATCGGTGGACGGAGAAGCATTTAAATGATTCTGAAAAGTCACGCCGTAAATTTTGTGGTGTACAAAATAGTAAATTCGTTGGCCTTTCATTACACTTCGGAACAATAATGATTTCTCTTGATTTTTGAGTGTACAGGAATTATTCAGGCTTGGGATTCTCCAGATTTATGGACCTGTTCACATCAGCTCCAAACTTCTTATGGGGATACGGCAAAGTTTCATGGTAATGGTAAATGGTAAAGGACCAGAATCCCTTCCGTCCTTTTATGGTTCCTGTTCTTGAACACCCTAATGCCACATACTTTTCTTCCATTACAAAATATGTCCTGCCAAAGTCAATATAAACTACGTCGATACGTTGTATCTGCTTCTAAAGAAATCCCATCTTTTGTGTCCTCGATGTTATTGTCAAAAAAATTCGAATTTCCAAGTTTCAAAGAGCAACTTGAAAACATTTTTTTTATACGGTCTAGAGCTTTGTCCTCTACAGCAAAAAAAAGAACCTGTGGCAATAAACATGATTCTTTATTCAAGACACACCCATGTCCATTTGCTGCTGGTCCACAATCCATCGAAAAGGAAAAGGGCAAGTTCTTTTTTGCACATTTGGTCCAAGCAGCTTGAGAAATAATGAGCACTCCAAGTCAAGTGCTCAAGTTTGTACGAACGTAATGATTCTGCCTCAGCAGCTCGAAGAATTGCATATTTCTCCGGCGATGTCGAAAAGGATGGTGATGGCATTGACCGAGCCAATGATGGAGACGAGAGTCTGCGTTGGTTTGACGAGGGCGAGAAGTCCACACAAGCGGATCGAGGAGGGGGAACCGGGAACGAAAAAGTCGATGAAGAAGTAAAGTCTCCATCGTTCTGGCTCACCACGAGTCGATTCTACATCGAGTAATCAATTGCTGGGGGGCCTCATGTGACAAAACGTCGGTACACAATCCCAATCCAGCGGCTTTCCAAGTCACCAGAGACCAAATCTGAATGATTGGGTCCTCGAACTGTCCTCAAACATGAGATCCCGCTGTAACTTGACCTCCTCTCTCTCGCCTCTTCCCGGACAAGATTAGCGCCGAGATTCTCAGCTCGATTACATTCTGGCGTATTGGATGCGTTCACTCCTCCAAGTGCCCGCAAAACCCGAGCATGAATGAATGAGGTCAGTGATTCACTCCTCCCTCCCCCTCATGATGTTCCCGAGGTTATTGTCGTGATCATATTTCCTTTCGTCCTTTCGCCCTTTCGCCATGAATGAAGAGACGAAGGGCTCAGAGAAGAAGAGAAGAGAAGAGAAGGAAAGGGAAGGGAAGGGAAGGGAAGGAATGAAACTTACGGACTTCCAGCCTTCCAGACTTCCAGCTTGGATGGATGGATGGTAGATGGAGGGAAGGATGGAAGGGTGGAATTCTGTCCACAGGCGACGAACCGAGAGTGCAGTGCAGAGGCCAACATTTTACTGCAAATCTGTACCCGGACCAGACCATAACCATCAGCAGCTACCTATGCCCACCCATGCTAATCAGATTATGCCAATTGTGTTATGTGTATTACCCAGTTGCACCAATTCTTGGTTGGATCGGATAACCAGTGCCCATAGCATTACTTGTGACCACCCATGCCTTCCCATGGAAAAATATTGTCACCCAAAACCCATGGGTATGGGTGGGTTTGGGTATGGGCACCCAGTGGGCTGGTGCTCTGGTGCAGTGGAGTGCAGGGCATCGGATGAACTGGATAGAGGCCAAAAGCGAAGGAGCAGGAGGGTATAGAATCTCGCCGGACGGACAGACGGATGGATGGATAAATGGATGGATGACGGGGAAAGTTGATATAACCGGGCCATGTGGTGGCATGTGCGGCCCTAAATAACCGGACGGAGCTCAGAGTTCGAGTCCAGGCAAAAGCGGTGACCGGAGGAAGACCGGTGCCGTCCTCGTCCTCGGCCCAAGCGACTGACTGCATTGCATGCATCGACGTAGAGCATTGAAGTCGTGCGTCAACCTGAATTTGTTGAGCACGATCTGGCGAGTAATTGTTGCGCGACCTCTCGCGATTTGAGAGTCCAGAGGCCGCGAAGACAGACAGAAGTCGCAGGGCCACGCTTTTGCAAGACTCCGTCGTCGTCCCCTGTAGTCCTCCATGTCTTGCGTTCTGATCAGCAGCAGCAGCTGCTGCTGCCACATCCGACTAATAGCAAGGCGCCAATCTGATCCCGATCCAAAAGTTGGCGACCCTGTGAATTGTGCACAGCTGCATTTGCTCTTACGATATTTGGCTTTTAACTGCTCCGAATCTTCGACATCAGCTCCCCCCTACGGCACTCCGAGTCTGCTGCAGTCCCTCGGGCTGCCTGCCTGCCTGCCTGCCTGCCTTTGGACGTACCAACACTTCTGCTGGCTCTATATTTGGCAGGATTGGATATTGGATATGGTGGGGGAGGATATTCGCCGCATCGGTCCCATCAGCAGCAGAACTCGCTCGGAGTGAGAGTGCTGCGCTTGGAGATTGCCCCGGGGGAACTCCGGAACATAAGCCACCTGACCGGTGCCAACGAGACAAATGTGGATTGTGGATCGAGGAGGAGGAGAAGCTCTGCGTTTCCATTCGATTACGGTTTGGCTTGTTTAAGACGCTGGCTCCTGGAAACAGATAGAATTTCGGAGATTCTAAAGCAGTTGAGGAAAAGTGGCGAGCGGACGAGCTCCTGTTTTGATGCCACTGGCGCCGCGGCGCAGGGAAAAGTGGCGTCGACGAGGACGAGGAAGGCGGAAGGAAGGAAGGAAGGAAGAAAGGACGCCATGACCGGGCTCCGAGGGGCCGAGGCAGAAGAGTGAGAGGGGACACAGCCCCATGCTTCTCTCCACCTAATAAAGCCACGCCAGAGTAGAAGCATGAGCGCAGGGCCGAGCCCTGATCGCTAGCAGCCGAGCTCTTACACGCTTCTGATCGCGATCGAAGTCCCATCTCCTCCCAAATCTTTCACAGCAGTGCAGCAGCAGCAGCAGCCGTAGCAGTAGCAGCAGAAGCAGAAGCGCGCTGTTCTCGTCCCTTACCTTCGTTTGTCGGAGTGGTAGCACCCATCATCATCAGAGGACTGGACCGAGTAGATAGATAGATACAAACTCACACATTCACCACACTCGCACACATTCTCAACTTCTACTGCGTGTCGGTGGCATATCGTAATCATATACTCGAACCATACTCAGATGATGCCGCTTTGGCAAACTCAGCATTATGCTTACAGTTGTTCGGATTTCAAAACCTCTGACCGCCGGAGAATCTTCGGATTTCGTTCGTACGACGCAGCGAGCGAGCAACGCGAGCCAATGCGCTCCCATAACTCACTGACACACGGAGGGACGTGAAGATATGCTCAACATATTTTTAGAGCTGCGTCGATAACTTCTCGGTACGCTGCAGTCTTTGTAAGACGCAGCGAAGGTGAGAAGCAAAGAGACGAGGCTGAGGGTGGACGGCACCTGAGAGTGCTGAGATGGCCAGGACCCCCTCTCATAGACGGATCGAAATTTCACCAGGTTTTGGGTGGTGAGAAATGAACGCCCTCGCATCTCCCCGTGCCAGTGGCATTTTACCCCTAGTGCTGCTACTGGGCGTGCGGGTCATTATTCCTGTCCCCTGCGAGTACGTTCAGAATATGAGGTGTACTTCTCACCCCATCTCATCTTTTGGTATGAGCTTCCTCCCGATCATCGATGCCCTCTGCGAGAATTCACCATCCAGATGAAGCTGTCATGCATCTGCAGACTGCCACGTGAAAAAGACATTCGCATACGAAATGTCCAAGGTCTACAGGGAATGTGTACGTGAAGTAGCCGACTAGAGGAGTCTAACCAAAAGAATGCAATCCTTCTGGTGATCAAGGATATCACACGCTTTGCAACTGCTAAAGGAGTGATAAAGGAGTGAACTCTCTGCAGGTTGACATCATCCTTTTGAGCTCATCTGTGAAAGTAACACTTCGTAAACCCTCCGGTCTCTGGTCAGCCCATTTTTTGACATAAGTTGTTTCAAACCTGAGCAGACACGAAGAGCGGAGCATGCATATAGACTCTAGGAATCTTTGTGCAAGGCTTGACCCTACGCTCGGACGAACGGTGCTGCTGGTCACTGGCTAGTGACAATTTAATCACTGGTGTGATCCCCAACACAAAACCGAAAAGACTGAAGACACACTCAGTGACGACGATGACAGAAAACTCTTTCAAAACTGCGAGATTCCCCTGACTGGAAAATCACTTCGTAATTTTACTGAAAAATTCCGTTGAGAATTGAACGTATCAATGATACAAGTGACATCCACATTCCGATGGAGTACGTTGAGGCTTGGCCAAGAGGATCTGCCTGTGTACATTCCTCATCATGGACTAGATAGTCGATCTGCGTGTACGGACCTCCCTGATATTTGATCTCACTTGAAGGCAGCAAAGGTTCAGCCAGAAAAACCTTTGACTCTCCAGAGGTAGCACGGGTGACCAAGGGTATGTCTATGGTATATCAATCATCACATGCATGCTTCCTCTCTACATTCTACTCGAATATTTTATTTGGTGATAAATGATCTTGAATTTTGCACCGAACCGCAATTCTGAATGGACGGAAACATTGAGTAATGCGAACACGCTGCCACCAGCTTAAGCTTACATCCTGTTCTGTGGAGGTTTGTGTCATCTATTAGCACAATGGAGCGTTGCTGAGCACTACGCACTGATGCCCGGCAGAATATCAAATCTTACTGCCGAGGATCTCCATAAATCTCTCTGGTATCAAAAGAATGTTCGAATAAATGAGAAGAGTGTGTGTCAGGAAGGAACTTGCAGTGAGTAAGGGAGCAATGTAGTTTATCTATAGCTGGGATCAATGTTTGAAAGCTAGCATGGCCTTCACTTGGGGTTCATCCAGCCAATTTGTGACATCTTCACCACGACCCACAAACCCACTAACTGTCTGCAGAGTATCCACACGGAACGGAGAGTTTAAAGTCTGGAGAAGTACAGCAACGGCCTGGTGCACAGTTGTTGCATCAGTTGGTGGCTCTTCTCTGACTGGACCGGTTATTATCTGGACCCATTCTGGAGTCATCTCTTTCCTGTGGAACTGCTTGATCAGTCGAGGAAAGGTACGTGTAAGTGCAACAACTGCTGTGCCATACTCCATATTCTGCAGATTCACTGAGCAAATGCCCTCTGGTCCCTGCTCCACGAGTGAAGGAAATATGTAGCTCGCCAGAGCTTCTTCCCATACTTGATTCCCCTGACTGCGGAAACCAAACTGATAAAGATAATTAATCAAGACATCAACAAAATCTCGTCGAAACTGTCTCTTTTCAAACTGCAGAGTACTAAGAAATGCAGCAATGATAGGTGCAATATTCTTCTCCGGAGTGGAACTATCCAGCAGCGATCTTAAGAAATGACTTCCTTCGTGACAAGATAGCATCCTCTGGACCACTTCACCGTCCTCTTTCCTTTCGCATAGACTCAAACAGCGAAGGCAGACAGTGAACGTCTGTAAGTTGGGGACAAGTCCCCAGCTCAGGAATGAATCCAACACCTTTCCCGCTTCTGTGAATTGCTTTGCACGAGCGTAGCCATCAAGCAAAGCATTTGCTATAGCCATCGTGGGTTTCAAGCCAAAGGAGCGCATTTTGTCGAACCAATTTTGTGCCTCCGAGGCTTTTCCACTTTTGGAGCACATACCGATCAACGTTGCAAAAGCATTCAGATTTGCCGCCAAACCAACTTGCTCCATATCGGCAAAGACAGCTTCGGCGTCTTCGAGGGTCCCGATCCGGCTGATCCCCAGGAAAAGGATGTTGAAGATAACCTCGTTCAGTGGAATTCCTTCATGTTGCATCTCCTTGTAGAGATCCAGAAACGCTCGACGACCTGCTTTTGCATATCCTTCGATGAGAACCCCGTACGTGAACTGATCTGGTATGTGACCCCTCTCCCTCATCTCCTCCAGCTTCTTATAAGCAAGGTCCAGACGACCGGCTTTCCCGAACGTGCAGATGACACAATTGTAAAGCTGAGTGTCAGTTGCTATTCCAAGACTTAACATTTCCTCATAGAGTTTGATGGCCTCCTGGTACAACCTGGCCTTGGAAAACATTTGGATGAGGACTGAGTAAGTTACGCAATCTGGCTCGAACCCTCTACCTTTCATCTTTGCAAGTAGCTCCATTGCCTCCTGCATTTCGAACCCAGAAGCATAGCACCGCATTGCTGCTGTGAAGATTATCTTATCCGGCACGTACCCCTTCTCCTCCATATCTTTCAACAACTGCTCTAGCAGATTGAACTTCCGTACACGCCCTAACAGTGGCATCACTAAAGTGAAACATTTAATATGAAGCTTACAATTGCCTTCCGCCATAGCCCACTGCAAAAACCCGTAGGCAACTTCCGCATGTCTCTGCCTCCGTAAAACCACCTGGATTTGCCGAGATTTCAAAAACTTTATTTCTTTCATCATGGCTCGAAGCTCAATTTTTGTATGTGCTGACCAACCGTATTGACTAAGTAAGCTGCAAATTTTGTCTGGAACATTTAGAGGAAAAACCTTTAAGGGATGTTTCGTACCCGGATGTCGATAAATCTCAGGGAAAAAAACAGGAGGTGGCTCCTGTAAGGTTCCTGTTTTTACTGTCTGCTGAATTGCCCCCTCGTAAACCTGTTGTTCACTGGGAACTACACTGATCCAGGGCCAACCCGCCCTTCTCCTTGTATAATACATACTCTGCATTCCCTGATCAAGCACAGAGCTATCTCCATTAGCTACCGGGCTAACTGCAACCTCAGCCCCCTCTCCTATATTCTCTAATTTATTCCTCCCATGGCCTGCAACCTCTACATTATTTTGTTCAACATCCCTGCCTCTACAAAATAATCTAACTTGTGACGATCCCCAAACTTTCTGAAACCTGGTGGCTGGAGCATATTGAAGTTTACAAGGAAGCCTCGGCACTCCATCGACACCAGCAAAGTCTCTATTTTCCGATGCGAATCGAAGCACACGATCAAAAGCACCGGCCCAGAATTCAAATGTTTTCTCCAACTCCGGATAGATTCTGCACTTCAGCTCCAAGGCCCGCAGGTCCTCAACACTGAACCTGCGCTTCAGAGAATTCATCACAAAATACGCCTACCCTGCCACTGTAGATCATCCAACAGCTGCAAAGGTCCACGAGGGTTTCGGGATAACAACGGCCCAACACCCGCCTCGACTCGACTCATGAGATTCAGCTCTCCTCTCCATGGACAAAATTTCTCGAAGCCCGCTCAGCTCTCCCTTCTCTGCTTCACCAGGATGACTCCAGTCTTCGTGATCGAGCAAAAATCGGCTACTGTGAAAACCCTCGGAACAGCTCAATCTTTCTGATCCAGGTCATTCCTGGGATAGCTGTGAATCACTCGACACAGATCCACTTTCCATTCTCCCACCAGCCCTAATAGCCATGAGAGGCCGATTGGTCAATATGATTCGAATCTTGCTGACGGAAAATTGGTTCGCATCCAGCATTTCCAAACTGATGCTAAATCCCAATTGACAAATTCACATAGAGTGGGTCCTCTTACTGCAGGGCTCGAACAAAAGCAAGTTCGAGAGTGGAAATAAAGTCTTTCGACAACTTCTCGACATGTTTCCGTAAGCGCCTTCGCCTTCGAAAATTAAATCAAGCTTGGTGCACGATCTCGCAACGAAAAATCTCTATTCTCGTCTAACATGAAATGAACAACGGCGTGCAGCAAGAGACCTACCTGCCTATGGAGACGCCTTTGAGCCCCTGAATTAATTGCTCTGATGCTTTCGTCTGCAAAACCATGGACGTCGGTGTGCGGATGAGGGAATGTAACCCTTTGAAAATTCTTTGAAGTCGCAATTAATGCACCGCTACTCGTCGATGTGCTCATGAGGACTTGAGAGGCAAACATCCATAAAATTCTGAGTGCAGCTCATGTCGCGATTTTGTTTCACAGTCATTAGGGCTACACCCTGCACGAAAGGAAGTCTGTCTTCGCCGCAGCAGTCAGCAGCTGTTGAAAAAAGGCAGCTTCATATTCTCCAGCTGCACAGATAGCAGTCTCTGGATCGATCGCAAGGCATGCAAATAATAACAAACATTTCTTGCCGCAATTCCCAAAGTTCAGACACTCACTGGGGCTGTTAGCTGCTCCTAAACACTTTCGGGACCCTTCACTCCACCATGAGCTCATTCTCTACCAACTCTCGTCCGTGTTTGAGAAGGAGAGGCCAAGACAAACTACGTTCACTTGTCTTGGTTCGAATCTGCACTCGGTCACGTCTGGTGTTCCACTAGACCTAGTTCCGAACTTAGAGTGAGTCCAAACTTGGACATCAATTGTTCATCCCTACGTACGTACCTTATTTGCAACTTACGATACATTCGAGAACCAAGTAGTTGTTAGTTACGTGCGAGAAGTTTCAGAGCTAATATAAATTTCTGAATGGGTGGTTGATGCTGAAAGTAGCGCAGCACGTCCAAGATGTCTACCGTTGAATGTAATGATTGTCAAGTGTGCTTTGTGATGTTCACCCTTAACCGTGCTTGCCGTAAAGGTGCTGCTCGACTGCGGGGTTTAGAATGCGTGGGCACTTCTCGAAAGACTGCACCCTTGGCCCATCGAAGCTGTCGTGTTCCTTTTCCACCACCTTCTCAGTTGCTCTTTCGATTAGATTAATGACAGAAGGTGACTGGCCGGTTGTACTCTCCGTGACAAACTTCTCGTGCGAGGTACTTTCCATGTGACGCAATGGAGGCGAAAGTGTATCTCGCCATCTTCTCTCAGTTATCTCTGGCTTAAGTATTTTGACCTTTTGAAAGGCTGTTGGGCTGAGAGGAGACCATGTACACTTCTGGCCGACAGGTTGTATGTCTATTGGGGTAGTCACTTTCGACTATCGAGATGACATTCACACTGCTTTTATCAGCCACACTTGAAACCTGCCTCTATTCGCCGGCTATCACCTCACGGAAGCAAATGATCCACATTTTTAAGTACAACACTTAATTATCGGCAACACATGTACACACCAAATCCTGTGTTTCTCACATGACTAGCGCTGACGATAGGTCAAAACTCCTCGATCAAATGATTATGACCACAAAATGTTGTCGGTCAAAGTTTCTCAATGGCTTGTAATACCAGCACCAAAGTTCACAGGGAGACAAAGGGTGACACGAAATTCCAGGAAGGAAAAAATCACTGGGTCTTAGATCTCAGTATATACATGATTGGAAACTCCTCAACACTACCATCTGCTCTCGAGCCCTCTTAGGTTACGGGACTCAGGTGTTCTTGAGACATCAGTTGAGTTCTGGCTGGTCCGTGAAGATGAAGGCGACCTTGACTTGTTTACGCGGACAACCAAAAATGGACACTGATGCGTGGCACGCTCCGACAGGAGTAAAGAGAGCTGTATAATCCGCACCTTCTTCGCGCCCACAGGCTGCTAGCTTGGAATAAATTCCACCTCGAAGCGACACAAGGCAATGAGCACTATACTTCAGTGCTTACACCATGCGATAAGATATTGTAGATAGGAATCATAGATGTTCTCAAGGTGGCAAAGAGCTCTAAGTGGACGTGTCCTTCTAAAGGACAGAAAGGGAAGGGTCGGTAATTACAATAATCGATCCGCTGCAGCTTCGAATAAAAGTAAGGCTATCCTGCCTCACGATGTTCAAATCATAAATGCAAATATTTTACTGGAACATTATTATGGTAAATGATTCAATAAGTTACAGCCACTTCAAGTTTCAGAATAAGTCCTCTATATCCTTTGAATGGTACGTCCGCATCAACCTTATCTGCACAGTCCACCAACTCGAGATTTAAAAACAGTTGATTTTGCTCCGAACACTGGTTCACCCCTGCGGTCCTTACATTCAGTTGACATTGCAATACAATGAAATGTGATTTATATCTGACATACTTGTGCGAGGGCGCAGATAGCACGAACGACTCTTGTATAATCAGTGCCAACGGAACTGATGAGCATGTCAGCCAAGAGGGTGCCCCAGAGCCTGCCAACATAAGACAATTAGGAGAGAAATGTTAAAAACGTAATGATAAGTCTGCTTCAGACGGTCCGTTGGCCTCTTTCAGTGTGGGGGTGGACATTCGATCCACTGCCAAAGCCATGTACTGTGGTCCTTTGTTCTAGTCAAAATCGTAGAGAATATTCAGTCTAGCATTCATTCCTGAAAAATGTGATGTGACATTGCGAACTAAAGTTAGCCCGTGAATCAAGTCAGTCCGAGAACATTCAATGCTTTCAATATACAGTTCACCAGGAGAGCATGCTAAAAATGAGCAACATCCAGCGCAGACAAGAACATTCGCAATCACGAGGCTTCCTCGACGCAGGTCCGTCCAGGATGATGGTGATAGAGCTACTCAGCTCAGACTTTGGTTACTTCCGTTACGTCGAGGGAGAAGAAGGACAACGATGCTTACAAATATACTGGAAGCGGAAAAGAAAATGAACAAAGAAGCTTCACATATGAAAGATTGGGCTCAACTTGCTCACATTATCTTATCATCAAATTATCGATGGGATCGTTTTAATTAGCATGCTTTCTGAAACAGAAAACATGCCAACGTAAACGATCCCATCAATAATTTCAAACAGGGCACGTGAGGTGAGTTCTTACAAAAACATCTGAAAAAATCTCAACCACCACTAGGAATATATACGCACATGGGCCCGAGAACGGACATTGTGCTCCTGACGGTTATATAACGCTTTGCAGCTCCCATGAGACCCTGGATAAAGTACCGAGGCTATCAGTTTTCTGTAATTTCTGTAAGTTTCAAGTGCAGGATATAATAAACATTATTCGATGCGTCAAATTATCAAGAACCTAATCACGGAAGCTATAGTGTGACTATCTTCTGAATGTACCTGCTTTGCTGCGAGCACGGCAACTCGGGCCTCCAGCATTGCCGCGACTTGTCCAGTCTGTAGATACAATCAGGAGTGAAACAATGTACACACATCGGCAAAAAGCGTCTGAAACGGCAGGTCCATGTTCCAAGGATCAATGCTTGGAATATGCGAATCGAGATTTAGTGCGTTATCAGATCCATGAGAGAGCTTTGTCATCTTGTTTAAAGCAAGTGCGCTACCGAAGAAGCCTTCAGTCAAATCAACAGAGTACAGACTAATACAATAAACGCGTAGAAGTCATGCAGGTAGAAAGTCATTATAAGCTTCGAACCTTCACTACAGCTTCTTTTGCGAGCTGATATCGGGCAGTCTCGACTAGCAATTTTCCAGAAAGCTTCTTGAAGACCTGGTTGCAAGCATTAGTAAATTTTAAAATCTGAAGTGAACTTTGATATGAGTGGGTGAACCATAAACTAAGCCTCGAAAATTGAAACCAGCAAGACTTACTCCGTCGTTTAAGAGCAGAGAGGGAATCAATAAAAAACGGTCTCAACAAAACTGGAAGAACTTTGAACAATACTGTACTCACCAGCCGCTGAAGGGTGGATACTGTCACAGCGCCTCCTCCCTAAAAGCAGGAAGCAGGTGATTGGTGATTAGAGGCATGGGCAATGAAACATCTAGTGACACAGAAATTGCGGGGTAAAACTTGATGAAACGAATCATAAGTTAGAAACTAGAAATGCACAGAATGATATGAAATATCGGACTGAAATAAGTATCGGGAATCACCTTCAAAATTGTAGACAGCATCTCCTTGCCGCGGAGTTTCATAATCATGGGCAGAACGGTCCGCCAATTTCTTTCTCGAATATCCATCTCACCACCTATAGACATGGCACTGACAGCCTCTTGAGAAGGCAGTTCCGCTGCAATTGACTGTCTGCCACCTCCAGAGCCGGTATTAGTTTGTGAATTTTCACAATAAAAGCAGAGTCCATCGCAAAGTTTCGTCCACACACGGCACTCCGACAGCATATCATGAATAACGTTTACGACTCAGTTTCATCTATCAGACTCAGACTCAGACTCAGACTCCTGAGTGGATATGACTGTACATTAACTGAGGATACGCGCAATTCATAACTAGCTTGCATGCATCTCTGAAAGGTACCTTGTTTCCGAAGTTATTAACAGTTTAAAAAAACCCCGCCTAAAGCTTATACCAAAGCTTTAAGACCTTCCTTAGACCAATGAATCACAACGAACGAATTACTCAACACCCATTTAACCTTATTTAACGTATGATGCTATTCGCTTTTTTTAACAATATTTTGACGCTACTAGATCGCCATGTTAAAAGTCTATTACCTTGATGATTGTTGGAGAAGAAACAGAAAGATCTCTGATTCCATGTCTTCAGTAGATAACTCAGCTGAGCATGGAACACTCAGTTTCTTCCTCACTTGCAGCAAGACATTTCTGTAGGTTGGCCGACGCCCGCTGCGAAGGGAACCAAACATAGTGAATTTACTTTCCCCATACACAATCAGGTAGGGAGATAATAACTCAATTGCCAGTTATGAACCTGTACCTGAGTGTGGCTTTTGCATCAGCCGCAAGGAACAAAAATCTGGACTCTAACCGACCCAACAAAGCATCCCTACCCTCCTGTTCGGTAAGGTGTTCGCCGTGATCGTAATTACTTGAACCGTCCGCTCTTGCCAGGGACTTCAGTAAAGGGCTGAGCAAGCTGCAGATAAGATAATTGATAACGATGGTAAATTTCAAATATGCACTTCATTCTTCGCAGCAGCACCATGCATTTCGGAAAAGTAACATCTCAGAATCCAAGTACCACAGAAGAAGCGGTCAATAAAAATAATTGATACGGGACATCGAGTAATTACACCTTCTACCGTAAAGAATCTTGGACAGTTCCTGAAGCTCAACATCACTTGCCAGCTCAAGAACGAAGTGCAACTCGGGATCCGATAGAGCTGCACATTAACACTCGTTCAAATTCAGGTCGAAATACTGAGCACAGAGTTGAGTCACACATTATTCGAGGACTCCTTCAAATTTCGGAAATGACGAATAAACCTGAGAGCCTGCAAAAGAAGACTTGTCGTACCCGTTATTCTCCACCCTGAATGGTAACGTTTCGTTAAAATAGGCGTTTGCAGTTGCAATGGACTTTGCCTGCTCGACAAAAATAGCGACTGTTTTTTCTCTCTCAAAGTACTGGCTCCAGGCCTGGAAGAACTCAACCCCTGAAAACAGAAAAGACACATTCAAATCTTAGGCATGTGTTTCTATCGAAAAATGGCTTCAATTTTAGGCCGGACGAGACATAGGCGCTAAGAATCTTCACTGCAACATAATCAGAAGTTGGCACTCACAAAAAACTTAATCAATGGATTTAAACAAAATCGAACTCACAATACTCCGAGAAGACCCGGCGCCGAGGGCCCAAACAAAGCCTCCCACTTGATGCTCAAAATGACATCTACCGCGGCGTATACAATCGCCATAATTGACAACAAGCTGGTTCCCGGAGATAGAAGGCAAAGATGCCACTCTGTCCGCCATCACAGGAGTCCTACAGAGAACTGACGGTGATCAAATCCCTGTCCGGAACCACGATTCAGAGTCTCTCAGATGGAAATTTTCCATGGAATTGCGGCAGACATCACACCGACCCGCAAAGACAGACGTATCTTCATGACACGAGCAAGCATTCTTCCGAAAAGAATGTCTGAGAACACCCGAGGAAATCATGTTGGGCCGCAGTCGAGTCGAGACGAGACGAGACGAGACGCGACGCGACGCTCGTCTCGGCTGGATCTGTGCTCGTGAGCACCAAGAAGAACTCACATCCCCACGAATAGAATATGCTCCAATTCAAGATTTTCCTCTGCTAGAACAGCACCGCAATGTGGAGGATCAAGCGCCCTCCCGTCCTCAGTTTCTCAGCTTAGCCATTATGGCCCCAACACTTGGCGTCGTTCGCTACCGTCTAGGTAAAGACGGTAGCGACCATTTATTTGAACGTTTAGCCAACGTTCAAATAAATGACTAAATAATACACACTTGCTGTGCTATTAATATCTTGTAGTCCTGAAGTGCCGATCATGAGTGGAGTGTTTCGCAAGCTGCGAAACCTGGTGGTGATATTAACAGTAAGAGTGATGTATTTTCTTTTCTTTTAGCAGGCCAATGGTGGCACCAAGAAGTGTGGAAGTATCCGATCTCGCCTCACCGGCGGGTCATTTCTATTGCCTCCCGCTTGTGTAAATTAGGAAACCAATTACAAAGCCACCTTTTTATTTTTTCTTTTATTGACACCGAATCTCTATCCGATCAGCCGTTTAGGGTTTTGCAGGGTTTACAGAAATACGAATGAATTACACTGAAGTCCAGTCATGGCACGAGTACTAAAATGTCAGTATCATATTCAAGCTCAATTCTTGTCACTCCATTTATTCAAATTGTTTGATCTATAGACTTCAGATATTATTCGTGCAGTGATTCAGTGTTTTGCAATGGATTTCAGTCGGCGTACAGTGATACAGGTCATTTTTCAGTCGGCGTACACTGATTCAGTTTTTTGGCTCATTCTTTGTGCATTGGTACATGCTTCACATTCTAATGCTATCTGGTTCCAGACCTGTTCTGTCCACTTAACTTCATCGTTATACAAAATGATGGGGGTAGTGACTACCCCCATCCTCTTAGGAAAATCCTCTTAAATATGTACCTTGCAAAATGATGGGTCTACCCGGTAGTCCCATCATTTTGTAGGTACGTATTTAAAAGGTGTAGTGTAATGTATGTACCATATACCTGGAAGGGAGCGAAGAAGGTACTTTGATTGTTTGTTGTGCTAACCAGTCGGAGACCAAAATAGTTTACTTCAGGGAGAGCGCCACGGGGCCAAAATCGTCACATTTCGAGGGCAACAATTAATAATTAAGCGCCACGTTACTCGGAGCTGAGACTCGCGCTTGCCAGAGGCGCAACGTCTCTCAGGGCGGGGGAGAGGATCAGGAGATGCCGGTGGAAGATGCGGGGGGCGGAGGAGCGAAAAGGGCGGGCGAAAATGGGGAAGGCAATCGACAGGCGGACACGCGGAAGGCTGACCGAATGACGTTGCGGGAGCCGGAGAGCAGAGTATGAACTTGTGGCTGAGGCCCTGTGGCTATGGTGGCAGGCGGGCAGCACTCGGGAGTGGCTGGGGCTGACAACGAGACAAAGGTAGGAGCGCCCCCGTGCCATTGGCCAGCCAATTCAGAGCCTCCGTTCCCAATCTCAGCGCGCAGGCGCAGGTGAGGTTTGCACACCCTGCGGATAAAGCCCTTGCGCTTTTCTGCCACTATCCCTTTGTTTTGCTGCTGCACAGGTGTGCAGGAAGCGGTGGATCGACGGAGCGAGGCTGTCCGGGCCCTTGTGGAGACGACGAGGTTTGGTCATTGAACCTTCGGGAAGCAGCAGGAAGAAGAAGAAGAAGAGGAAGAGAAGGAGAGGAAGAAGAAGAAGAAGAAGAAAGGAGGGGTTCTGCAGAGGTTTGCAGGGGAGCGGGGACGGAAACCTTCGTCAGCAATCGCGCGGAGCAGAAACCGAGGCAGAGGCTCGAGAAATTGCGACGGGAATGCGTGCGTAGAGTAGCGGAGGAATTTCGAAGCGGCCGTTCGAGGTATGGCGATGGCTCACACGATGAGTTCGTCCTTGTCGTGCGTCCACCAGGTCGCCCCTTCTTCGGTTTGTAGTAATTCGCCCGTGGGCAGGGCCAGCAGCAGCAGCAGCAAGGACGTGGTTCTGCTCGGAATCGCCCCGTCGACCTACGGGTCTGCTAAGCGTCGCCCGGCCATGACCGTGTCTCTCTCCAGCCTCGGCGGGTGCGCCACAGCACTCCAGCCAGCCCGCGGACTGGGGTTTTCGCAAGCGTTTCATGGGCTCGGTCAGTTAGCGATTTCTTGTCCCAGGGGTGGGCTTCTGCCTCTTGGACAATTACCAGGTTCAAGGTGTTTTAGCACTACCAGTTCACCCGAGGAGGGCGTCGTGGGCGTTCCTAGCAAGGAGTCTTTCATTCGGTCAGCTATGGTTGTTATGAAGAAAGGGTACGGAGCTTTTGGGGGAGCAACGTTGGAGAAGTCTAAACTTGACCTGTCGCAATCGCAAGCGAAAGTGTCACCGCAGCTAGAGGACGGTGGTGGCGGAGGAGACATTGGAAACCGAAATTCCCACGGTGGTGGAGACGGAGGTGATGATGGTGGCGATGATGACGACTATTTCGGGGAGGATGACGGTGGCGACGACGGTGACGATGGTGGCTTTTTTGGGAGGAGGGTTTTAGTGCCTGAGGTGAGCTTTTTGACAACATTATGTTTCTCGAAGGACCGTCGACACCTGTAGATTGAACAATAGTTTTCGTGAAGTTATTCTCACATCTGTGCTTGGCAGATATTTGACCGAAAAATCGTTGAAGCCGTCCTTCAAGAATGGTACATGACCATGAGCAATCTGCCCGCTGGAATTCGGCAGGCAGTCGAGATGGTCAGTTCCCCCCAGCGCAACGAATGTCCTTCATTCAAGATAGTTTGTTTTGATGCTCTTTTTGATTGCAAGCATGAGACTGCAGGGCTGTGCTGGTTTATGCTAAGCCCTCAATTCTCGTCTCTCAGGGTTTGATTAGTACTGCCCAAGTGGTTCGCTTTATGTCAATTAACGCGAGGCCGACCATGACGAGAGCTATTGCAAGAGCCGTACCGGATGAAGTTTCGAGAGCCTTTGTTGGGAGGTATGTTCGCCAGTGACTAATGACTTTTGCACTTGATTTACTGTAGATGTTTTAGTCCCCACTTCACACGAAGCTGAGAATCCCAGAACCCCTGTCCGCAAGCTCGGAAGATATAATCTCCCCTCCCCTGCCAGAGACTCACGTCGGGTACAGAGAGCATTTACTTTCCAATCATCTCGTTGCCCTTGAGAATCAGGACTGTAAGCACTTTCTTCCCTCTGCCTGAGGCGAGGCCTGTCGCCATGAGACTTTCCAGAATTCATGACTACGATCCACACATCTCTTACACATCATCCACCAGTCAGACCCTGAAGCATTCGCAGAAGAAGAATGGTTCTCTTCCTTTCTTTAACTCAAACGCCAACCTTCTGGGGAGATTTCGGAAATTCGAGTTACAGGGGGATGAGCCCTCGTGAACTCTAGCCTGCAAAGCTGAACGAGCTTTACTGGAATGAAGGTTGCACCCAAGTGAACAAATAACACATTCGGAGATGTAAATGCATGCGTGCGTACCTTCTGAAGACTGAGACGAGACCGTGGAAGCGAGCAGGCTTTATATAATATACATGTGCCTGCTTCGTACTATGTCTTGACGTCTTTGGAGCATAATGGAGCGGTGCTCAATCCCTGCCCTCAGACGCAGTCGGGAGACTGCTCCAAAACACATGTCGTTTCTCTTCTGGGTTGGCAAGTAGCGTCCTTCATTGTGGTCTGACAAATAGAATTCCTCATTGTCTTCATTGTACCTTTCTATCTCTTTCCACTTCGTCATGCATCCGTAGGTTGAAGTCGTGTCATACTATTATCTAGCCAAGTGCGTCTATTCCAGTGGCCCCGAGATATGTCTCACATACCCATCTCAATAAGATTTGTTGTACATTTCCTGAGCAAATGCCAGAAATGACTGGTAGTTCACTCCTTTCAAGTACTGTGGAGGTTTAACACTCAATTGGCAATTCTACGAAGCTTCTCACAAGTCCCATTCTTTCTCTGAAGGTTGCTGCTATTTTTAAATGTGTTGTATATCAAGATGTGACTTCACACGCTACCATATTTTTCAAAACTTTGACGTGTCTGCATCACAGAGACCATGCTACATTGATTAGATTTATCACTCATTTCAATCTGAACCCTGTGCCCTGTGTGGTTTGTAGAGTGCTGGCTGATCCATCTTTCGTCTTTAAAGTGGCTGTGGAACAAGTTACAACAATTGGTTTTGGCGTCTGGTGGGAAATTCACCACCGAGGGAGTAGGTAATGCCTTCCGGACACAGGTTTTCCGCTAGCTTGATTTTTCCTGATGACCTATTCCCTATCGAGCTAGGTTTTTTAAAAAATCTGTGGGACATGGTAATCATTTCCTGACGCTCTGAGTCGTCTGTTTCAGGTTGAAAGACGAGTGGCATCTCGCCGCTGCCAATATATTGACTATGTCAGCTTGCAATGCTGCCATGGTCTGGAGTCTAGCCCCAAGTCGTTCTTATGGTCAAACGTTCAGATTTGAATGGCAAAATGCTCTTCAAAAGCTGCCTAACCATGCTTTTGATATGAGCTACCCTTTGAGAGAGTTTGATAGAACGAAACGAGTAGCAGCGTTTTTCTATAAGTCTGTGGAACTTGGTTTGATCGGAGCAGCTTTTGGAGCCGTCGGAGCTGGTTTACAAAGGATAGTTCCACGGCCGAAGGATCAACCGTAAGCATCGGGCCCTGTCGATTCGATCCTTACTCGCGTAGCCATTTAATGTTGTCTGTTGAGTTTCAGTCACGGTTTTCGTTTCATTTTAGTTGTCATGGAGATAAACTAACTGGAACCCATGCGTATGGTTTGCAGGCCGTCAATGCCAATTCCTTCTGTCAGCACGAGTGCCCTGAGCTACGCCGCGTTTATGGGCTTGTCTGGAAACGTTCGGTATCAGTTGCTCAATGGGCTGGATCGTGTTATGGGTCAAAATATGAACAGTATTGGATTGGTGATTGCTTGCACTACGGCTTTACGGTGAGTAAACTTATGTCACTCTTTTTTCCTTCGATGGTTCCGACTGTTCACTCGTTACTAGCTTGTAAATCTTACGTGAAGGTTTGAACAGACGGAGTATTATGAAGTAGGTGAGTCACAGCCCTACCTTCTTGTGAAAGTAAGGTACTGTCCGATTATATATGGCGGGATTTGACTCGACGTGTCCTGGTTGTGCAGTGTATTGAATATTCAACTCGGGGATGTATCGCGCTTGTCATGGCTGGGGCTGGATCAGCCTAATTATGCTGTGGAAGCCGAGGGATTAACGAAGGCTTATCACAGACCTTCTCTTTCACCAGATTCTGTCGCAAGGTGGGTTATCCCGAAGAGGGGAGTTATTTCAGGCTTTTTTGAGGAGATGTTCAATCAAGCAAAAGAGCCGAAACAAAAACAACCGTCGAACATTTTTGCTAAGAGGAAGGTGAAGAGGAAGGTTACCGTTGGGCGTTAAGGTGAGGATTTGAACTGAGACTTGGTCGAATTGGGAAGGCAGGAATGTCTTCAAAATTATTGAGAGAAAATGAGTGTCACCCACATCTGTCTTTCGGTTGGAGCTGGGACAAAAGCAGCCCTAGGTAGAGATCACACTGCCTCCTAGAGTAAGCACTTTTTCACTAAATTCAGGGCCCAAGCAAATCTGAAAGGAACAGCTTGAGTTGAGGTGTTTTTCTTGACGCGGGCCTAGTAGATTGCACTCCTGTGCAGAAGAATCGAAGAGATAGAGTGAGCTGCACCTTGTACCTGTGTTCCCTACCAGCACATCATGGTTGTCCATATCGAAGAGCGAACACTTTCTTTCACACCCGAATAATGAGAGCTTGTTGGCGGCCATGGTTCCTGATGGACTGGAGTTTCGCACTCCCGAGGTTTACGGTTGTGTGACGATAGCTTTGACTACACTGGTGACGTATCACGTCATACAATCTGCCTTACTAGGACTTAGACGATTAGAGTTTTTATTAAGTGTCAGGAGGCTACTGGTTATCGGGCTGCAAGTTGTTCCAAGATCCCTCCAGCTTCAAGGCTAGGCTTTTTTAAAACTTCCATACGGAGATCAACTCCACTGAGAGGTCTAGAAATTTTCACGTCTTACTTATTGTATAATGCAAGCGTTCTTAACAAGTTTACCAGTTCTGGAGGTTGTGATCGGATACTATTTCGTCTTTGCCATTAGTGAGATAATTCCGAGTAAGCGGTATAAATACTCGATGTTGACGGAAGTCATCGTAGTAGCCGTTCATGGTGATTTGTTGCTGCTCATGTGAGTTATCGATGGTCTTTACGGCATGGGTAGATCGGAATCGCAAAGGACGCTTTCGATTCGTCTTCCCAAGTCACGGTGGATCAGTTACAAGGGACATGTATCGAAAAAGCTCTGTTTCCTCTTACCGTTAACAATGACGCTTTGTGTTACCTCCGACCCGATTCAGCACGCAGATCCAAGGGATGTTACCACGCATAACTGTAAAATTATGTGTAAAATTTGGTGTAGATCGTTTTCTTTGATTATTAAATGAGTCAAGTTATCAAGTTTTTAATCTTTAGGAAAAATTATAAACTAATGATAATCAATATCTGAATATAAACTAATTAGGCAGCTTCGTTTTCTTTATTATTAAATGAGTCAAGTTATCTAAGTTTTTAATCTTTAGTAAAAATTATAAATTAATGATAATCAATATCTGAATATAAACTAGTTAGGCAGCTTCGTTTTCTTTGATTATTAAATGAGTCAAGTTATCCAAGTTTTTAATCTTTAGGAAAAGTTATAAACTAATGATAATCAATATCTGAATATAAATTAATTAGGCAGCTTCGTTTTCTTTATTATTAAATGAGTCAAATTATCCAAATTTTTAATCTTTAGAAAAAATTATAAACTAATGAAAATCAATATCTGAATATAAATTAATTAGGCAGTTTCAATTCGAGTGAGTTGAGATTTAAAATCGTTATTCACCGTCGTCATTCGTATGGAAACTATTCAATATTATCATTAGTTTATAACTTTTACTAAAGATTAAAAACTTGGATAACTTGACTCATTTAATAACAAAAGTTTTTCCATGCTTTACATCTTTGTCAAAACAGGTAGACAAATCATTGAATCTCCAACAGAACTACATTTCATACAAGGATGAATTTTGAATCCAGCAAATGAAGCGGCTAGATCTGATGTTCGAGAAAATGCCCGGATATTCTTCCATTATATGCAAGAAGGGGCCTAAATCAAGGGCCTAATTTGATAGAAACAAGAAATGAAGCTTCTCTCCTTTTCCCTAAATCACAACAACTTTTACTGTCTAAAACATGATACAGAGTTTGGGTGCGAGCTATGACCTATGAGCTAAAATCAGATCAGAGGTGGTTTCATCAGGTTGATAAATAACATAATTTCGCAATACCTTTCTCGGTTCTGCGGCGGTGTAATTTTTGCTGTTCTTGAAAAATAATAAAATTTTAAAATTTTAACATAAAAACAAAAAAGATGCGAGTTAACACTAACATAAATTTAAAGCAATCAATGAAGCACTACTGCTTAATTTGATATCACTAGGTTACATACTCGCATCAAACTTTTACAGGCTGAACGGCTATCCTTCATGTCTAATGCACTACAATCCGGATCATCCAATACTATTAAGTGATCCGGATTCTATGACTATTGGTCCAATAGTCATAGAATGTTCAGTAGTGCACATGTTTGCAGTTTTATAGTTGAGCAATCCCTATAATTATTTAAATGCCTTTATTCTTGGAATTACTGAAATTTTTATCCGACTTGTATAAAGTAAATGTATTGGGCATAAATGTCGATGAATCGCTGAGGAGCAGTGTAGAGAATAGAGAGTGTGCACTGTCAAAGCGCTTGCTGTGATATGGGAGCAGCCCGACGAAAGAGTCGGGGCGCTAGTAGTCGACCTGTGCGCTGCACAAGCCTCCTCCGTGATTCCTCGTGGACGGAAGACTCAAGAGCGGTGGTGATGGCGCCTCCAACTTCCATCGGCGATGATCCAGCGGCCGATGTCGATAATTCAGTCGCGTTGCAGAAGATGAAGGTGCGCTTGAAGAAAATGAAGTTGCGGATGAAAAAATGCGAAAGGCGCTTGAAGAAAGTGGAGAAGAGATTGATTCCAGTGGAGTGGAATGAGGAAGTAGGGAGCTTGTTCTACTAAACAGAGCGAGCCGTGCGGCTTCAGTCCTTCAAGCGACGATACGTGACTAGCTTGCAGATTTTCTTGTTTCGGCGGCGCTGACAAGGCGCATAACTCTTCTGAATGAAAAAGGTTCGCGCTCTTAGCTCACTTCTCTGAAATGACTTACTTGTCTCTGGCTTTTTAGTCCCGAGTACACAATTGTCGAGTCGGTCTACTCTACCCTTTTTTCTCCCATATTTTTCGCTGCTCGAGCAGTGCCCATTAGGGCAAGTAATGTTTCTACGTTCAACGTGAGGTGAATCTATTCAGTTTGCGTTTGTTGTCGAGCTTATGGAGGCAAAGTCGAGAAAGGGAATCAAATGATTAATTGTTTGTAGGCCGTCGAAGGTTGCTACGCTTTCCTTCATCTTGTCAGATGAAGTAGAGATCCTGAATGTCATCCCAGTGGTGACGATGGGAGGTATTCATCATCATCAGAGTTGAGAGCCCTTGTGCTCATTGTACGTTATCGAATCGCAGAAGTGGCCGGTGCATCTAACAATCTGCAAAAAACGTTTTTGGCAGGTGTTCGAATTGTTTCGATAGGCAGCAATTCGACTTCCTTTGTCTCCAGACCTGATTTGACCTGCTCAGTGAAAGCCTGAAGGTAGCAATCGGTGTGAAGGTGCTGTATTCTCCAACACCTACTTTATTCTCATCTTGTGTCCTGCAAGGCAGTCTCGATCACCAGTCGACACGATTTTCTCTATGCTCTTTGTTTGTATCTCCAACTCTAGGATAGAACGATTCATCATACATCATACATGTCGACAGGACAGAATCACAATTGTGACCACAGATAACCAATTTGTACCAGGCAGGAAATTGAAACTTTAGGTACATACATTGTGTTATATACATTATATACGTACATATAAGAGATATGTGTCACGTGCAATATATTACCGTATTTGTTCTATCGTGATCTGGGTACAATAATCGTGTTGGCCATTACAGCAACACAACACAATTATTGTACATTAACAATCTCCTCACAAACAGCATACCTCTAGAGATAGATACACTGCAGAGTAGCTACATATCTCCATCACAGATATACTTGAGACTACCTTGAGAATCATATCTTGCACGTGACACATATCTCCTCCATATATCTGACGAGGCGTATAACTCTTCTCAGATCAAGAGGTAGTGGCTGGTATACTTTGATATTTTGCTACGAACAAAATTGGTTTTTCTGTTGGCGCAAACCCAAGTCTGTACTTTCTATCCCACCTCCAAGAACTCCACTTCAATGCTCTGGTCAAAGTAACCATCTTCAACGATCACCAGCTCGCTCATGGGCACAGCAATAATTCCCTTCAAATCACTTCAAGCAAGACCGTGAGGAAGGCACATCACCGAAGTTCTATGGCACAGTTATCGACTTCCAGGGTACACCTTGGCAGGAAACTGTATCAGCACCTGAACCGTCAGTGCGACATGTTATGGTACTTGACCATAGCGTTGAAGTGAGTTCTTAGGGGTGGAATACAAAGTTTGTCTAAGACAAAACTTAGAGTCGGATCTTGGGAAGAATCTGTCAACCCTAGCTCTTGACGTGACCGATTGTGCAGTGAAGCAATGACTGAGCAGTAGCTGCACATGGAACTCGATCTGAGCTTGTTAGGTGTCGACAACTGGATGCGAAGGTTTGAGAGGATGGCTTGTCGCAGGTAACTCATTTCCTTCTGCCCATATCACAAAGTGCGTGCTTGATGCTGAAGTACAGAAAGAAGAACCCCCTAGAACTCGTTTGTTACCCAGCAGCAGGATATTACAAAGTGCGTGTTTGATGCTGAAATACAGAAAGAAGAACCCCCTAGAACTCGTTTGTTACCAAGAAGCAGGAGCTCTATCATGTGAATGTAATACGGCCTTCTAGGAAGGAAAGACAGACACCTTGAAAAGTCACATACATCACGACGAAAATCAGAAGACAGTTTGAAGACATTCTGAATGTTGGGAGCGAGAATTTCGAATTTCATCACTACTTCATGTTTTTAATCTACGACATAGTCCAAAATGGGATCTGATAGAGTTTTGAGATACATTGTGGTGGGAGTGTCATATTGAGAACTTTGTCATCCTTTTCATATCAATCGGCTGATGAGATATTGTAGATCTCATATGGCAAATTACATCACAATAAGCACTGACTTCATTTAACTCTCGATTCAAGTCATATCAGCATTCTTCTTGTGTGCTTGCTTACTTAATTGATGGACGTTAAAGTTCGCATATGTGTGCCATTTGATGAATATGTATGTATATATATGTGTGAAACGCCACAATTATTTTCAGCTACATGATAATCATGGATGCGAGATTTCCTGTAACTCTTTTTCATATGAGGATTGTAATTCGAGGAGAAGTCATTAAGCATTTTGGATTTTATTAGATGTTATGCTAACTGTTATACATCGTGAAAATTGAAGTGGTAATATCAATTAGGTTCAACATGATCAGGTAAATGTGAACCATCAGAATGGCAATATGATAGTGATAAAGATTCTCAAATAGTGATTTGTACAATCTGTAAAATTTTCAGCATTTGATATACATTTCAAATTTTGGTTTTTGTATAATCACGTCTAAGGATTGGTTGGTTTGCATGAAAATTCATGTCTTTGGATTTTATAACCACCTTCTAGTTGAATGGTGTCGTTGATGATTACTAGGCCGGTTGATGCATGTAGCGTATATAACTAGTTTATGAATATTTGAAGGGTTTAAATAAATTAGATAAGTAGATTTTCAATTAGAAAAACAAATAAGTCACGGTAGTTGAAAATTTGATATCTGAATATTATCATTCTCTTCATTCATGATATTTTTTAATTTCATCTTCAAAATCATAAACAGTATTTTACATAACAAAGTTATAAAGAAATTTTTTTTAGGTTGGTTGAGACACATTTATACACATTAATGAAATGTTCTGTTAATTTTAGATGGATGTTGTTAATAATAAATAATAACTTGATCTTGTAAATGTCAATCAACAAAGTTTATGACTCGAATTCAAACTTTTAGAGAGGTTATTTGCTTTGTGGATATTGGCAAATGATCATCAGGGAATTATCTACATGAGAAACTGAAAAAAGAGATTGTAAGTTTTGAATATTGAGTGTTTTTGGGCATGACACGTCACAAAGATACCTAGTTGCGATTATTGATTCATTGAGTGAGATCAATCCTAAACCTCCTCAAAACAATGAGCATTGGGATCAAGCGGAGATATTCAACGACAAGGTAGGAGCAACAAGTTATCACAAATTCACCGATTTTGAGGGTTTTTGGAGTTACATGAAGACCATGAGCAACTTTTGCGTGTGATTCTTTGAATCTTCTTTGAAGGCGTGATTTCTTTTTGTTCTTGGATCACCAAACGACAATAGAAATTGAGATTTAGGACTCCACATTGAAGACTATCACGAAGGTTTCAATTGAAGCTTTTGGAAGTCTAAATTGATGCATTGTCTATTGTTTTGTACTTACGATTTAAATCTTTTACAACTTATTAGTGCTTGATCTTGGAGAATTATCTTTGTATTTTGGTTTAAAAATAGAGGGTGACACCAATCAGGAACTTGATAAGGCAATGAAATGTCTGAGTAAGGTTTCTCTCAAAATGTCATAAAGTATATAACAAATAATGTTTTATGTACAGAGAGTTAAGCTTGGATCAGGTACTGGATTGGATTGATGGTGAGCTTGTCTGGAATAGAATACTCTCTATCTGGTATGTTTTCTACATGGAAAGTAGAAACTAAAAACTCTATGTTCTTTATTCAGAGGAAGTAAAAGTAGAAGATTGTCAGAGCATGATGTTTTCTACATGGCAAGTAGAAGGACAAAGATTCAACTTTGTCCAAAACTCATATCAAGTATCCACAACAAGAAATTATTTTTCTTCAATAAATTGAAAATGCGGATGAACATGATTAGTAACCGGTGTGTTATGCCGTGTGGATGCGCTCTCTTGTTCTTTCTTCAATGCACATCCAATGGCTGGTGGAGATTGCGTACCCTTGGATCGTGTTCTCTTACCATCGGGCAAGATGGATCGAACAAGCTGTCCTATTTGTTACGCTTGCATGGAATGATCACATGGAAAGCAAGTTTCATCTATTATTGAGTTTAAACTGGATGAGGAGCGTGTGAGTAGTGCTATTGAAATTACACATCTTTTAAACTCATATTTTTGATACAGAAGACAAGCACATTTGGCAGTCCAATATCAATGCAATGCTCTGTTCACCTTTGCTTCTATACATAACATTTCGTGGAATTGGCGCAAAAATTTTCACAAACTTGCATCCATCAGGATAAAGGATGTTATTTTCAAAAAAATTGAAAAATTATTTCAAAGGAGATGATCATGAAATTGCAACCCTGTCTACTTCTCCGTTTTGCAAGTTGATCCAATCCTTGAATTCTAGAAGTTTTGACCCCATTCTTCTGATGTAACAAGGCAAAAAAAAGTGTGCAAATGAAGTACCTGTAATTAGTGGTCCTGAGTCTTTGAAGTCTTGTGCCGATATTGTTCCAAGTGATCAAGCTTCTCCAAGCTTGATCCCTATGTCAAATGTATATTTCAAGTTACAAGCAGATAAGTCTACACAAGTCACGCACATCTTGAAGAAAGCTTGTGCAGATAATTTTGTTATTTTTCACAAACCTCAAGTCCAATCCCAAGATTCAAGAAAAACGTTAGAAAAATGCTTCTCACGACTGCCCAATTTGCAAAAAAGTTAGTGCACAGCGTTTTTTTCTCTTGTTCACCCCACATTTTTTGTGAAAAAAGTTGATATCTCGATGAAACAAGATAGCAAATTGGTTGGAGTGGGTTCTTTGAATGGTTCAAAGAAGAAATCTATTCTCTTGAATGTGGAATTATTGCAAAGATCTAAATCCAAAAAATCTTCCGCAAATTGTTTGGTTTCTGATGCAGCTTCTACTCAGCAAGAAGGTGTTGATGCTCAAGAGAATGTTCTGTCTTTTGTTGCAAAAAAAAAAGAAGTTTCAAAATCTGAAGATCTGACTGATGTTAATTATGATTGCACTGCTACTGAGCATGCTAAGATTCAAGGAGTTAAGAAGATTCCTTCAATCAACAAGTGGACTTTTAGCAAGAAGCTAGTACGGAGTAGTAAAAGACAACAATGCATAATTTTTGCTCTATAGCATCCAAGAAACTTGCTTCCCCTAAACAGACTTTTGCTTTTAAGGCCAAATCTGCTTTAATGAACTGTTCCTCAAAACAAAAGTTTGAGACGAAACTTGTCGAGATGATCGCGAGGACCTTATGGAGCTCTTCGCAATAAGAAATTCTTGCTGCCATGTAGTGCTACTATTTTCTCTGATGATGAAGTTTTTGATGTCTTTTGTGATTTGATACACATTGAGCTCAGCCAAGTAGCCTTTATTGAGGAATGAATAACATCAATATTATTTTTGAAACTCTCACGATGAATATTGTGTACTAAAACGTGAGCGACTATAATGAAATTACCAGGTTATACTAAGTGAAGGATTTCTACACTAAATGCATGAACGTCTAGGTGTCATAGCTCTACAAGTACAGAAGATGAACCTTTTTGCTATAACAACTGGAATTTGGGAAATTCTTGGTGGCACACCGGTCAGTGTTTGGTGTCCACATGGGACAGCAAACACTTGGTGACACGAGCTTGTTTTCACGTGTTTTTGATAGTCATTGCAAGAACTAATTTGTACAAAAAATATTAAACCTTTCGAGTGAATTAATGTAACTTAATTTCAAAAAGTAATTTGTAAACAAAAATTTGCTTTTTGCTAAAAGTTTAACATCTAGCATTAGCAAGTTAATATGACATTAACAAGTATACTCGATTCCAAATCTACGGTATATCTACATATAAATTCATTGAAATCAATTTCTCCACAACAAGATTTTTCAAGAACAGAAGTGAGTAAAAAATTGCAGTAGATATTCACATTTAATGTATGTCTTGTCAATTCTAAAACGAGTTATCACAAAATAATATTTCATTAGGTATATGTGTGCATATATCTGATTAAAACATTCATAAAACATGTTATCTATCTAGAGTATTAAAATAATGCCTCAGGTGGTAGTAACAGAAGTTCCTGTTCACACTATTAGAAATGAGACATCCCGCATGTCGACATTTTTCCTGAATTAGCTCGAATCAACTCCGAATAATGAGACCTTTTCACTTCTGGGAATTGTAAACAATAGCAAGACTCTGGTGACCTGGTGCCAATGCGTTCCATGAGCCAAATCATCTGAGAGGAACTTACCTCGCATCATTTCATCGAGAACTGAGCTGAAATTTTTCACTGGAATCAACGGATTACTTCTAAGATCGTCATCAAATACTTGGACCATACTCCAACCACAGGAATGTGCATACCAAATGAATATGAGCACTGAGCGAGTTTCTGTTCAGGAGCTCGAGCAGAACTCACTAGTCTGGCGTCGAGATTCTCGATTACTACGGCTCCTTTTCCTGCTAGCGACCAGACACCGATTTGTAATTTAAATGCTGCTCGTAGAATCGATGTTCTTTCGTAAATTCAGGATTTGCGTCCGACAGTGGGTGACAGAGACTTGGGATTTGACCAACTTCTAGGCCGGAATCCGGATTATGACGGAAATCATGATAATCTTTGAGGGAAGTGATCCATAATGCATCACGTCAAAGAATCTGTCAAGGTCTGAACATCTTCTTCCCTTCAGAACCTCCATCTCATATCCGAAATATACAAAACTCGACGTCAAATTCCGTGCTCCTTCCCAAAACTCGAACCTTCACTGGTCATTCACATTGACTTCGTTCAAAGAGACAGCTTGCAGTTGTGCTCGAGCGAAAATTATTACGATTTCGGAAAGCGTGTTCAGTGTGTCTTCGATCTCGGCTGCAGGGAGTTGTGAGACGAATTCTCCTTGAAGAAAGTACATGCAGAGCTAGGGAATCATCCTTTGGGTATCAGCAAACGAGCTCGATCTTATGCCTCTCAGTAAGCGGGAAACAAACTATAGATACAACAGATATGAAATATGCAGTCTGTGTATCTAAAGTACAGAGCAGTATCAACTCGATCTCAGCTGAATGTGCATCGAACCTCGTCACTCTTTGAGGCTGATTTGCTTGCGTAAGCCGATTGTTGAAGCACCCTCGTGTCAACGGGAATCACTGACCATATGGGATGAGAAAGCTGAGCAGGTGCTTATGGTAGGAAGCTTGTCACTCCAAAGATTCATCATTACGTCATTCCCCACCTCGCATCCTTCAAATCCCCTCGAGTCTTAGGTATTCCCATCTCGGCATGTGTGCATGCACAGATTGACAGATTGTAGTGTGTTGCTGATTGGAATTCTCTCCAAAATTCATGTTAGACCTTCTAAAAATTGGAAGTGGATATGCCCTCCTTTTGCAAAAATAGAAAGTCCTTACAACACGAGCTGTCTACATTAGAGTTAAATCGAATTATATAAAAATATTATTCAATTCGAGAGGAGATAGACTTCCAATTTGTTTCTCAGTCAGTTTTCTTCTGAGGGCACGCGAAGGGACTCGCTCTGAGAAATAGTGACTAACAGCGAGACGGAAATCTGCACAGAATAAAACCCATGATCAATGTGGTAGGACTGAGATCCCTCGAGCCTCAAATAGTTCCGAGTTTGGACGTAAAAGCATACCTTTCTCGGCCTTTTGGCTAAGATCAAGTGTAGTATCTGTTCTTATCAGTTTAATATCTGATACGAGGGTCATCGACCCTCACGATATTAATCTTATTTCTTTCAGGGTGCGGGTCCAATTCGGCAGCTTGCTGTCGAGGATCTGCCAGTGTCGCCTCGGTATTGCACTACCTCCTTGGCCGGCGCAGCCCACCCTCCCTCACCTGGGAGACCAACCAAATGAAAACAGCATATCACAAAAGATGGCGACTCCCTCGCCGAGTGGAGTGCACGAGTACACTGAACTGATGCAGATGATGCAGGTAATGCCGATGCCTGCTTTCAGGAAATCGTGTCGATAATGGGAAAATATCTAGACCATGTTCTTCGCTGTGCAGAAATGGAGGCAGAATGTCGAGGTCCTCGAGGGCCTCTTCCAGCACGGAGCTAGCGTTAGACGTCTTATGTGAAACTCTCAGAGATCCGTCAGTGTATCCGAAGTGGGTTGTCCGACACTGTCTATAAGCGAGTTCACCCGGCGACTGGGAGAGAAAATGGCTCTCAGCAGTGTGCAGAATTGCTGGGAAAGCTCCATGTGGAGGGTTGGTTGCGCGATTATTGCCAAAGGAGGGTTGGAGAACGACTCAGCACTCCGCCCATGTTCCAAAGTTTCGTGCTGTCTGAACAACATTTGAAGCACTAATGAAGAAAAAATGGACGAACTTTGACAAATTGTCTACATTGTGAGTAAGCAACTTGTTAGACTCGACTATGCAACGGCAACGAGAACAACCTACACTACTGAGCTGACGCAAATTATTCAAATTTTAGTTGGTGATTTCAAGACTGACACGATCAAACCAACCTACTGAGAGTTTTGTTTCCCAAAATCTGAACAGTGTGTCAGTTACAGGTGAGGTCTTTTTGATACATGCGTGAGCTCATCATACACTTAGTTGATGCAAACCACTTTCTGAACATCTGAGAGCCAAATCGTACAGGTTTTTTCTGGTTACATATGAATTAGTAACGAATTGCATCATATCGCATGCATATCGAGAGTTGCATGTAATGGTCAGTCACAGTTGATAAACCCGTGGGAAGCACGAACTGGATTCGAGAGGTTCAGACACGCTTAAGCCTTCTGTTTTCACCGTTGGAGATACGATATTCGAATGTTCACGAGGAGCAGTTTCTTGTTATCATCCACATGCAGCAAACGTGGTAACGATCCACGATAAGAACGCGTCAACTTCCTCTTTCTAACTACATGTGGAGACAATTCACATCTCTATATTTCAGATAAACTTCATGATGATCTTAATCCTCTGGAAGAATTCAGTCTCCGCTGCTCTCAAGCGTTGCAATGCCTCAAGAATATCATCTCAGTAATGAAAGAACCTCTGTTATCTGGACCTCATTAAAGTCAATACGACAACGGTACTGCGATGAGCATGCTCCTAATTATCTAATCCATTCACGCAGAGACAACTAGAAAATCAAAGCTTCGGAAAGTTTTATATGACCTTCACTGCCATTCGTCGAGAAACTGGATGCTCCGAGAGCTCCAACTCCGGCATTCCAATATGTGGCTGGGCCAACTACACCTACAAAATGTGGGCCAGCCGTTTAGCTCTCAGTGAATCACTCTACACTGAAATCTGCTGCAGGAAATCTGCATTGCTCATTAGCTTTGCTCAGTAAATCACTCTACACTTGTTCGTGCTAGTAAGCAATTCAGATTTCAGGATGCGTGCCAGCTGTGTAGCTCTCAGTTTAGTTCTACCAAAAGTATGACAGAAGTCTGCTGCACGATGAATAATTCCCCTACATGCAATGTTAAATATCCAGATGAGTTGTTTTGGTGACTGCCAAAGACGAAACAATTGTTTATGTACATACAGGAGCGATGTTACACGGAGCAGATTTAGAGCGCAGTCTGAAGTTCTGAAGTAATCTGTTCGAACTACAAGTCTGCCGCAGTATTCCCGTTCTATCTCTACAACCAGTGCGAGCTTCGCTACCACTGTAAATTCTGGACACTAGTCCGGAATTTACACATGGTTGGGACCCTCCAGCAACACAACCGTTCCAGAATCAGATGGTGCATAGTAGCACCAAAACAAAAGGTTGTATCCAGTCCATTAGAGAATACTTCACACAGCAAATTCCTGCACATTTTCATCTGGAATTATGTCAAGCGTCCAGCCCAATATCAGTGATCGGAGGCATGTTTTCGAATCTGATAAATTTGGTTCCTGTGTCCTCTATATGAACAGCATGTGTTGGTTGCTAAGTCAGCAGCAGGTATCCACAGCATAAAACTGTGATTCATTCAGAGCAAATTGAGATTTAGACTTGTAATGGAGGTCTGGTGATTGAATGTCTATCAGAAAATCGCGATACCCACACAAGCCATCCAGATAGTTCTGACACAAGCCATCCAAATTTCGTCATCCAATCTTTAAGTCCGAAATAAGCTCTGAAGTCGGCTTGAAAAGTACTGTTTTAGAGCAATACGGTCTTGGCAAATTTTAAATGCCGTTCTAGAGTTATCATGCTGTCTGAAGCAATATCCCCGTCTGGGGGGATGCGGTTCACACGTACAGGTTCCTGCAACAAGCACATAACAATCATCAGAGGTATTTCATTGATTATTAGCAGCACAGTAGTTGTTGAACACGTGGAAATAGTTGACAATTCCTGCGAATTCTGAGCTTTTACCAGCATCTCACTTCCAGACACGTCAGCATCTAATCATTTTGTAATTCCAGAGTTTTCTCTTGGCAAAAATAAATTTTGGAATTTTTTCGATTTCGATTGGACAAAATTTAGAATCGATATAAAAATTCTAAGCGGGTCACGAATCAGTAACTGAAATTGCATGTGGATGTACCCTCCACTGCATATTTCTCTAGCCTTGGCGAATGCCTCACAAGCATCCTCAGTTGTGCCCGGGGATGATCTCGCTCACATCACTTTTAGGAATCGAACCTTCTTCACATGAAGAGAAGCAGGTTCGATTCCTAAAGGTAAAATGTGCAAAAATGTTCTTGATAACGAAGCTATGAATTTTTTTCCCTTCGCATCCAATTCTTTTATTAGCAAAAATCATCCATCACTCTACAATCAATTCAGTACTATATATATGATGGTTAGTTTGTAGTAAGAATAAGTATCTTTATACACTCTACTTCGATTATATATTATTCACATACACAATATGTGAATAGTATACACTCAAATGTCACCCTAAAACTCCAGTCTAGTGCGTTAGGAGTAGTGCATGGGAGCATCGACTTACAATCTCCAAGTGTTGAGTGGGTTGGACTTAACTATGTTTGTGACGGTGAAGGTTTTGCCAGTATGGTAAACAACCGACGGAAATTCCAATGAGAATCTCCCGTTTATTTCATTTGAGAACTGACGTTCTTCGAGCCGTACCCGACTGTATACACTCTCGGCCCGAACCCTATCTCCACGTCTAAATATAGAAAGTGCTCAGAATGCGTGATCCGACTCAAAACTACATGACAAGTTGTAAGAGAGACACTGGAATTAATGTTCATAACCAAATTGCTAAGTTATATTTTTGATACATAAAAATTTATCATCTTTTGTACACAAAATTATCTTTTGGACGGAGAAATGGTTTCAGAACTGGATTTCAAGACTAGCTGATCTTTTCCAATCAGCTAGTCTTGAAACAGAACATGGTAATTTATTATTACTAGATTTTCTTATGAATAAATTATGAATGGATGAATCCTACTCCTTTTACTCGCGATGAGACTCACTTATGCCTTGGTGTTACAATTGATCATTCTTTTAGTTCACAAGCTCAACTCAAGCATTTCTCACAATCAGATGATTTAACCAATGATGTTCTCTTTACGGACACTAGTTGAGGACTGATTCTCTTCGGAAGACTTTATTTTGTACTCACTTATGATTTGCTTTGGGCCACGGACAAATGATTATGTACATACAGGAGCGATGTTACATTGAGCAGATTTCACATAAACAGGGGAGCTTAATTAAATGAAGGCTGGTGCCATAAAAATTGTCTTCGTGCGCTCAGAATTTCAAGGACATGTCGCGGTGCGTTCAAACCTCGACGATGTGCAAATATTACAGACTGTTTGCCCTCTCCATGTACTTACTTGTATACTCTTTAGGCAGGGTAAAATCTCGACTGCGTGTTGTAAGTAATTTACTTGTAAGAGTGTGCACTGAAGAGCACAGGAAGCGCAACTGTCTCAAAACTTCCGGAGCTACATGGATGGATGGAAAGGTTCTCAGTGACAATCCAATGCGTGTTTGAACAACCGGATCTCCTGTTCACATAAAAAAGAACACCACTTTGCCATCATGCACTCTATTATTTCGGCCGATGCGGGCGTCCGGCTGATTCTCGTCACAGGGATTCCGTCCGATGCGGCAGGTCGTCGTCACAGGGCCGCCGTCCGACCAATGCGGGCGTCCGGCAGATCGTCGTCACATGGCCGCAGTCCGATGCGAGCGTCCCGCAGATCGTCGGCACAGGGTCGCCGTCCGATCCATCATGCACTCTATTGTCGTATATACAGAGCTATGTCGTCTGTCGTGATAAAGCGTCAGCCATTTGGAGATTTTTTGGCTCGAGGAAGGGTCCGTGCGCAGCAGGCTCGGCGTTTGGTCGTTCAGGCAGAGCGGGCAGCAACCATACGCCATTCTCGTGGTATGTTTTTCCTTTCATCGGTTTTTGCTGTGGCTGCATTGGGTTTGCTTAGGGTTTGTTTTGCAGCAGGCGTTTCCCAGTTCAAGCCTGTGAAGAAGATTCAAGACATCATCGGCAATTTGTCGATGTTTTTTTACTTCGATGTCACGTTGGTTTCAGCCGGTGCTGGGCTTGGCGAGAAGGACGGGCTCATCAGCTGCCCGTCCTTTTCGCCAAGCCTAGCACCGGCTGATTAGCAGCTTGGTGAACATGCTGGAGGGTGGAGTGGGTATCAACATTACTCAAGCTCCGCAGTACATGCCTAGCGGGGATCCCCTCGCGCCCGACAGGAATCTAGACGCGTCCTGGGATGGTCTGCCGTCAGTCAGGGTTGAGACATCTCACCCCCCAGGAGACAGGCCCGAGCAGGAGCAGTAACGAAGATAGATCACTAGCTTCCGAGCAATCAAGAAATCCGAATTTTCATGTTAGAATTGCGGAGTCTGTGCTCCAAGAAGGCAAGCGTACTGCACAGTATTGACGGGCGGATCAGTGTGGCCGGCCTCATCTCACGAACAGTTCCTTAGCTTGCCGATGCCATCCACAGCGCAGTGGTCAAGGTTTCCTCTTGAGCGTTGCTTCGCCTTGCGAAAGCAAGACCACGTTGCAGTGAGTCAACTCCCTACCAAACTATTTCTTCATCTTTTTGCTTGTAATCGACGCCCCCTAGGAGCCTAACAATTGCGAGTTGAATTTTTTTAGAATTGCGTTTAGCGCCTTTACATTATGTCCATATGTTCAATAATTATTGCATAGAGCTCAATCTATAAGCCGGTATATTAGATAATAATATCCATCATGGAGCAAACTGTAATTTTACCAATAAAAGTAATGGAAAAAAGACAAACATTCTAACAAAACTGACAAACCTAGGCGAATTTCTTATTCTAAAGCGCTACCTCTTAGGCAGACCAAATTGTCATGCACTTATTCACATACGGCTTTTTGTTGAATGAGGAGCAAAATCGTCTACTTACCACTTTGCTTCCCAATAAAAATGCCTTGGTCGAAATAACCTCGCACTTTAGCACTTATATCCGAAACGAAATTCTGTATGCAGTACCAAGTCATACGAAATAAAATAAAAAAAGTACCGGAGTAAGAAGTAAAGAAGAATTTACTATAAGGAGAAGAAGAGCAGACCTGGGTGAAAGACGATGAGATTCGAATCTTCGCGAACGGTAACCAGCATCACAAGAACTCGAACAGAGCATCCCCAACAGCAGGCAACTTTCGCTTCGACCTTTCCTCAAAGCCGCCGCCCGCTGCATCGGGATAGTAGGATTTCCGCATTTCTTTTCAGATGTTGACAGGTGTCGCAATCCTGCTAATGCCCTCATGTACAAGTGCAAGGTTCGTCCGTGTACTGTACTTCAGTTCGACTGGGGAAGCAGCTCAACCGCGTTGTCATTGAGCGTAGTACTGTCTGGAGTCGCTAATGAGACAAATTCCGTGGACCTCGAAGACTCCTAATGTCCCCATGTACAAGTACAAGGTTCGTCAGTGTACAGTACTTCTTTTCGGTTAGAGCCGCAGCTCAACCGCGTGGTCGTGGAGCAATGTAGTAATGTCCGCAGTCGATGATGAGACAAATTTCGCGGACCTGTTTCGCTTCCACCCTTCCTCAACGCCGCCTCCCGCTGCATCGGGATAGTAGGGTTTCCGCATTTCCGTTCAGACGTTCAAAGGTGTCGCCATCCTCCCAATGCCTCCAAGGGCAATCTATCATTGTACAGAACTTCAGTGTGGTTGGCGCCGCTGCCCAACCGCGTCACCGCTGCTCCACCGCGTAGTAACTACGGCAGTCAAAGGAGAGAAAAGCTTAAACTTCCACAATAATAATCGCCACTGCGACGGGACCGGGGATCGAACCCATATACTTACCACTATATTATGAAAACTGGGCGAAAAAATCGACCCAGGTTTTCTTGTTGCAACCTTCTGCTCACCGAGAAGTAATTTATGTCATTGGCATTTGTTCTGTGTGATACAGCAAGATCCTCGTCGACAGGACCCACGTCGTTCATCTGCTCTCCTAGCGCAAAGGATGAAGATATCACTATGAGAGGAAGTCCAGTGGCAGAAAATGAGCTTGTGAATCATTTAGTTGATGTGAAACGAGAACCATTGGCGCCAGTTATGAGAGATCCGAGGGAAGTCGGTGAGACTTCCCGATAGTACAGTGGGACTATTTGCACCAATTCTTGCACTGGTGAAAGCAGAGCCTGTTGAAGAGAAGCCTTCTTTCCGCTTCCTCCTCCCCAACCGGTACCTTTGGTAGCCTCTGTGAAGACTGAGCACCCTGCAGTAGATGTACAGTAACCTCCCCGTTAAGTACGCACCCTTTTAAGTATGTATCCCGGGTAAGTACTCAATTTTTTTCCAAAAAAACACGGATAAAGTTTAGGGTTTAGGAAAAATCAAAAGAATTGTAGCCACAACGATCAAAGAAATACATAGTGAAAGAAATAGAAAAGTGAAACAACCACATTGAACAAACGACCACAAATGTGGAAAGAACCTTTTGAATCTTGTTTTGATACAATGAGATTCATGTTCTTAATAAATGTGAAATTATGTAAATTTCGCTCAAAAATTATGATAATAACCAGACATGATTCAATAAAAGAAGTTTAACGGTGTAATGTTATTTATTCAATATCAATTGTATATTGATTGTGTGTACATCAATCATAATCTTTTAATTTTTATCATATTGAACAAATAACTATTAAGCACACTTCTAAATAAATTATTTATCTATTTATTTACTCATTCATTTTTTAAAATATAAGTAAGATGTATGACACTTTCAAACAATTAACTTAGATGCTAACGTTTATGCAATTTATATAAATTATTTGAATGAATTGTTATTTTATTGAAGCATTTTATATATAAATTTTATATATTTATGGTAAGATATATTTACTAAATCTTATTTAAAAAATTACAGCTATTCATTTACAAATTATATCACGATTTATTTTTAATAACTACCCCTATTGATAGGCTAGCAATTCAATAAAATAAGATCTAACACATTATTTTATTTCATATCATTTCTAAAATAAAAAATCTTGTTTATTATTCTTAGATCTCTTAGATAATATTTTCAAATATGTCAAAATGTGATATCTTTTTTTTTTTAATTTTTTCATAAGAAAATAAATTAAATATACTACGATATTTGTATCATATTTTTATCTCTTACGATAAGTTATCAACTGGAGTGCAAGTGCTACTAATATCTTCGACATGTTGCATAATATATTTCAGATAACTTCCATACATCTATTGTTTACAAAAATCATTATTTGGTGCTATACATTTGAAATCAGTAATTTCAGAAGATTTTGTGTCCAATGGTGTTCAAATTAGAATGTATAACTCTAAATGTTGATGATTTTATACGCTGGCTTTTAAATTTTAGTATATACTTGCTTTTGTACGTGACTTGCTAATGACTTTTTTTCCTCTTTTATCTCATCGTTCATGGTTCATGTGTATAAAATATATTCTTTCAAAAGAAAAAAGAAAAAAATATAGATTCACACTTATCCATGTACATTAAACGCATTTTTTTTCAAATCAATGTAAAATATTAAAATTCCAATTAAATGTCTCAAGATTTAAAAAGTATATAAAGCCGGTAAATTCGATTTCTAAGGTGCCCAAAGGATTAATATATGCTCTATTCATGCTTTATGATTGTTTTGCTTCTCTCACTGCGAGTAACCTTCCTTGCGATATATGATCTGAATTTGTTCCAATGCCTGGTCCTTTTGTTCGCAAGGGAGTGGCGTAGAAAGAGTCTGCTTGCCTGCTGTTTTAATTTTCTAGCCCCATCCACATGCTGCTTCAAACATCTTTCATATACGATTTGATGGGATTGGTCTAATAACAGAATCGTTTTTTAACAAGACAGTATCAAAACGAATTTACATCGACGTAGAGATACGAACATGACTTTTGTAAACTGACTGGATCTTCTATTTCGATGTCACATATCAACATTCTAGGATACCATAACAAGAAGTCATCAAAACTTTGACAGTTGACACGAATCGAGCTTGTTTCTGTCATCAACTTGTGCGGAAGGGCCTCGTGCATAATAAAAGAAATACTTACAAGCTAGAATAACCAAAAGGATGGGAATTTGAGGGTGCTCTAAACTATTTCAGGGGTTCTCTAGCTCTTTTGGAGAAATAAAACCACGGTGAAACAATGTGGACAAATAGAGGAATAACTCTCGACCCACAGCCAGAGCACTCGTTCCTGGAGCACGATTGTATCACACAGTTGGATCTTATGTTTGTAGAGAGCTGCAAGGTCATGGGTAACATATATTATTATAACATCAGCCGAGTCAGAGGAGATAGGCTTCTAGTTTGTTTCTCACACGAAGGGACTCGCTCTGAGAAATAGTGACCAACAGAGAAACGAAATCTGCACAGGCTAAAACCCATAAGCAATGTGCTAACACTGAGATCCTTCGAGCCTCATATTGTTCCGAGTTTGGCTATTGAGGCATACCTTTCTCGGCCTTTTGGCTAAGATCAAGTGTAGTATCTGTTCTTATCAGTTTAATATCTGATACGAGGGTCATCGACCCTCACGATATTAATCTTATTTCTTTCACGGGTGCGAGCCCAATGGAGTAGCTTGCCGCTTCGGGCTCGCCAGTGTCGCCTTGGTATTGCACTACTTCCTAGGCCGGCGCAGCCCATCCTCCCCAACGGGGAGACCCAATGTAAACAAAGAGGACTTTAATCTGAGGTTGATTAGATTAAAATGTTGCTCCATAATACCTTCCACTGAAAATATGAGTACTGTCGCAACCGATTCATCGACTTGAAAAACCAATCTGGCCCTCGAGTCCGCTCAACGAATCTAATTTCATGCAAGTCGGATATGAGCTTCGATTCAACGATGCCAAAAAATCGCGATGTGTGGCTCATATAGATTTGTGATGCTCCCATCGGCTTTGGTTCGTGTAACATCTGCCACTTCCTTCGAACCAAGAAATAAGGAATGAACTGTGCTACAAAACTCCCAATCAACGGAAACATTACACGTCAAGAGACTCGTGGCTGATCTCTCAGATCTTTTGGAATCAGAAGTTCAACCTGCTTCTGGCGTGGGTCTTTCTGTGAGTCGCATCGGTTGAAAGCCATGAAACAGGCTGCTAGAAGTTCACAACATGCGCTAGCTAGTTTGCCCGAGTCACAACCACTTTCGGAGAGCTCTCTGGGACGAGAAAACAAATCCCCTGTTGGAGATGTTACGAGCGTCCTCGACCCTCACGATATTAATCTTATTTCTCTCAGGGTGCGGGTCCAATTCGGCAGCTTGCTGTCGAGGATCTGCTAGTGTCGCCTCGGAATTGCACTACCTCCTTGGCCGGCGCAACCCACCCTCCCTCACCTGGGAGACCAACGAAATCAAAAACAGCAGATCGCATCAAATAGCGATTCCTCGCCGAGTGGATTGTCACGAGTACATTGAGAGCTGACATTGGTGATGCAGATGCTGAAGTTTATGCAATCGTGTCGATAATGGGACTATCTAGACCAAATTATTCGTTGAGAAGAAATAGACGCAGAATGTCGAGGTTCTATTGGGCTTCTTCCGGCACGGAGCTAGCGTTAGACGGTCTTATGTGACACTCTCAAAGAGCCCGTCTGTGTATCCGAAGTGGGTTGTCCGACACTGTAAGCGAGGTCACTCGGTCGACTGGGAGAGAAGTTGGCTCTCAGCAGTGTGCATAATTGCATGGAAAGACCATGTTAAGTATTGGTTGCGCGATTATTGCCAAAGGAGGGTTGGAGAACGACTCAGCACTCCGCCCATGTTCCAAAGTCTCGTGCTGTCTGAACAACAGGGGTTGGCTTCAATCGAGGCTGAGACTCAAACGAGAAAAGGAATCTCATCGTTCGAGTAATTGTTGCTCAATCCCGATGAACCGTACTCCAGCTGCTCATTCCCCACTGACGGAGGCACGCCCTCCCTGTGTCCGGACACTGGAGCGGAATTTCCACCATTCACACCATACAGCATCGTTCTGCATGCCGAAGAAGAGAAAATCGGCATTCTGGCTCTAAACTGGGTGTGGTGGTATACTACTGGCCTGCCAATTGAAACTCTCTGCTCGCCTACCACCCGATCCACGAAATGCACATTGAACTCGACCGCAAGCCATTTGAAGCTAAAACGAACATCGGCAGGAGTGAACGAGGAAACAGCTTTTCTCGGGGAGAGGGTCAGCATCATAAGAAGCAAGGGGCCTGTCTTAAGACCTCCACCGATCTGCATCGAGGCCGGTGGTATTAAACCCGTGACGAGAGCGATCATCCTGTTCGTGTGCCTTTCTCAAAGACTGACCAAGATGAAATCAATTGTCGTCGTAGTTGAAACAAAACAAACCCAACAAGATTGTGCCAATTATGTTGTGAACACATTTTAACCCTATATTTAAGAAAATCGTTATTCTGTTTATCATCAGCGTCCAATTATGAACTGTCGTCTTATCGTTGAAATATCTACTCACATTTCAATGATGTTAAGAATTTCATATTATGCAATTAAATCAGAGCAACCTCTTCAGTTTAGAATTCGAAAGTTTTATAATACATCGAGCATGCCTCATTCACGCCACTATTGCCCATTTATGAAAGCTCCGTCGTTCGTCCACTTTAGAAGCTTCTAGTACATCAGTGGAGTTGGAGCCGGCTGCACCATCCACCCATTCTTCGATGATTTCCCGTGTGCAGATCGGAATGGCTCTTGAAATCGACACCTTATCAACATCTCTGATTCTTACAACATTCTTGTGACTCGAGGTACGAGACCATCACCATGGACAATTCCGGGGATGCCATTCGAAGTCGGTGGAGTCCTGATGTTGGATTTTCTCGTCGTGGACTCACTTCCTGCTGCCCATCGATCGATGAGGAATTTCATGGCCGGGATGGTCAGCTCTGGCCAGATCTGCTGTCGATCGGATCGCAGTCGGGCGCGACTCGCCGGCCGAGAGGACCCTCGAGAAGTCTCGCTCAAATCGACACATCACCATTACACAAATTCAATAATCGAACTGCTCATGGCTGTAGTCACTTATTGGAAGAACTCATCAGTGACCAACGCTTGGAGAAAACGCAGATACCCATTTTGCTCTTGAGAAATCTTGATCCACTGATAGATTCTGAGCAGTACCATGTCAGAACTTCATAGCTCCTTACTTGAGATCCGCCAACGTTGCTACAATTGATGATTGCTTCCATACTCGTGGCGGGTTACTAAGTCTGTTACATCACTATCGTGCGTAGTGTGTCCCACGGCGGAAAAACTACTGTCTTCGACTTTGAAACATAGAATCTTACGTCAGGAACATGTTTTACAGAAGGTTTGCCAGAAGATGACTAATACTGTGTCTAGTTCCTCCTCTAGTTGCCATTATATTATGTATTTGGCTTCTCGCAAATGAATCAAGGAAAATATGATAGTGCACAGAGCGAGGAGTATAAAATGTTGCAATCAACAGATTGCCCACCAATTCAGTAACCAGATGAACTTCAAAGTTAATCGCTCTTCCTGAACCTGGACGGACCTCTCAGACATTTTCATTCAAGACAGAGATCGAGGTGAGCCATACCGTCTACAGCATTTTGCATAGAAACGACACTACCTCACGCCTTTCGATACTCATGGCCGAAATATCGAGAAAGAGCAACATTATAAATTTCATTCGCCATTGAAAATTGCAGAGGACCGACGAAAGTCAATCGAGGCCTGGATCAACACAACAGAAACAGATATGGATACATCTCCCTAAATGTGTTACCTCGGGGAGCTGGACCGGAAGAAAGATTTCATGTGTAGAACATGCTCTATATGAAGCATACGGATAGAAATTGTTGACCACAAAGTAGTCTACAACCTACACCATAAATGTTGAGGAACACATGGCACTTCGGGAGCTTCCCTCGAGATGTATTGCAAAGCCAGATAGCAGACAAAGGCAACTTGACACCTATGTTTCGTGACATAAAGTCGTGTTTGCAGAGGTCCGGAACTGATAGAGGACTTCGTGTAATTTTGATCAAATTTTTAGATGCTAGTATGGGCTACATCATTTTTTCAGTATCCGAGGGCAAGATTTGCTAACTCAAACAAAAACAGGCTTATCACTAGAATCATTTTCTTCACTAGAGCCTGTGTAGTCGTGGTAGTACCAGCTGCTGTTTGCAGTGACAGAAATCGAAGAATTGTAATGTCGTTAGAAATATCTCGGAACGAAGCAGATCCTAAATACTTGGACTAGCTTCCTCTGTAACAACAGAAAGAGTAGCAGTTCCTCCTTTAGATCGTTTGACAACGAACTTAAAGGTTACTCCAACCCGATCTCCTAATGATTCGACAATCTGCAACCAATGATGATAAGAAAGAATTAAACTACAAACTATAGATCTCATCACGAGAGGTCTACAGACACGCTTTCAGCCCCTCTTTGCACTCAAGTTGTGAAAAGACCATAAATTACATGAGGTAAAGTTAACTTGAACTTATTGGAAGATGAAATTTCGCATACGAAATGAATAAGACAACTGACTGACAACTTCTATCCAAACTTTGAACCTGACAAACATGTCCATTTCATAGATCAATGTTCTTATGTCCAGTAATACAGATCATGGAGATGGTCATCGCGTAGTGTTACAGATGCAAGGCCACAATTTGTACAAGATCGTAAACAATAGTTCCCCACCTGAAAATACTCATATGTGCACAATATTTGAGCAAAGAAACAAAGACTCCGAACCTGATGAATAGATGTCACTGGCTGACCATCGAACTCAACAACAACATCTCCAGGACGCACTCCAGCTCGTTCTGCTGGAGAACCAGGTATTACCTGGAAAAAGAAAAATGCCTTCACCTGATAAGATCTAACTGAAGCAAGGAATCGAAATCACATATTTTTTTGTACATCGCATGCTTTTCATCAAGTTCCAAACCAAGATGCAGAAAAACACTAATATCCTCTCAGGTGGTCGTAAGACCAGACTTATGGCTTTCAAATTTACCTGTGGGACAAGAACACCTCCAGTTACATCAGGAAATGAGGGGTCCCTTTCTTTCAGTTGAAGAATTATATCTTCAGTCAATCCAAGCATCTTCATTCCAAGCCAAGGCCGTACCACACGCCTGTATCACAAGATAAAATCAATAAAAACCTTCAACGAAGATAGAAGGGGATTCAGCACGAGGAAAACCAAACGTTCTCAGATGTCATTATAAAAGCCACTGAGGCATTATCAGAAATTGCTTTTAGTCCTTCCCTAACATAGAACCATAGAACCCTGTCCTGGCTAGGCGATGCTACTAGCAAAAGATTAAGGATAAGAAGAAGCGAGATGAGAAGAGAGAAGACTGACAAAGAGTCATTTATTATTACGTCAAGGCAGATATGTACAGGCAGCTTTTGTACAAATCAGGTAGAGTTTGTACCCATGTTTCTTGAGTTGAGCAATAATTTTGAGAGCACTGTCTATTGGGATAGCGAAGCTGACACCATCAGCTGCCAATGCCTTCATGGTATTGATCCCAATCACCTCGCCGTCGAGATTGAGCAATGGTCCCCCAGAGTTACCCTGCAGACGATTTCCAGTTTGAGTACTCATCACTGGCATCTGTAATTAGTCGCATCATAAAAAATATGAAGAATTTTCCGTTTCAGATTCAAGTGATATATGACGAAAATCAACAGAAAGTACCGATGGGTGTCGAAAACACCTATGAGACAAGCATACTGCACATTTGCTTCGCTTCTCAATCGTTACGCCAGACGATGTTCAACATAATGTGCACACGTGCTCTTCAGAGACGTAAAAGACGTATATCATCGATGCACATCGAACACGTTGGGGATATTGAGGCCAACTATGAGCCTCAAAGTGGGACAGCTACCACTCTGGACATGCCTAAACAGAGTCTAGTAACCAAGAGATAAGTGTTTTCCATGGCCTAACCTGATTGATTGCCGCATCAGTCTGAATGTAGTCGGCATGAACTCCTCGCAACCCCATTTCCGCACTTTTGCGGTCCACACAACTACACAAGAAGACATTGTATAGCCCTCTCTCCTTAGCACTGGAAAGAGTAAATGAAACAGGATTTTAAACTTTAAAAGCTTGCTCGTCGGTTCGATAAATAGTGCCATACCTGACAATACCAACAGTAACAGTGTTTTGAAGATGCAGAGGGCTCCCTAGCGCAACTACCCATTCTCCAGGCCGGAGTTTGCGCGATGAACCAAACGCGACTGTCGGCAAAGGTTTTGTAGAGTGTACTTTCACAACCGCTATGTCTGCTAAAGAATCATAGCTAATAATTTCCCCAGGAAAGGTACGACCATCTTGCATCGTGACCACGATCTGATCGAGGCCAAATGTTAATTAATACATCGACAAGATGGGAGAAGTTGAGCACAGACTGATCTTATAATGCCATGGCTTCCTCTGCTGAGAAATGGACTACAGAACAGTTAGACCAACAAAGAGAACAGCGAGCCATTCATTCAAAAAAGTGTACTTCCACGTGTAATTTCTTCAATGTAAGACACATTCCTTGTTGGAAGAAGAAAGATTTGTGTATACTTTCCTATCTTTCATAGAAAATCATGTCATGGTTTGCTGCTATGGATTTCAAAACTCACCTTGCCTTTATATGGCCCGTGCCCATCATCTGCAACGACGTGAGCATTTGTCAAGATAGTACCATCAGGACTGATAATGAATCCTGAGCCACCTGTCTGTGCAAAAAAGATACCGCGACCACCTGCACATCCAGCATTCGGCTGATTGAATCACCAATCAGTGACCACATAAGATACTGTAATGGAAGTACCAGTTGAGGAAAAGCTTAAACGTCGTTTTGTATGACAGTACTGAATGTGTGACATCTTGCATACAGGGTTACTAACCTCTGCTATCTACAAGAGCTCGTGACTTAGAACTGAAACAAAAAAGACTGTACAGCAGACCAGCTCCTGTCCATATCCGATCTTACCAATAGAAACGGTGATATTGACAACGGCAGGGGCAGCCTTGGCGGCAGCATCAGCAATTGCATGCCGAGTGAGAAAGACATTTTTTCTTGAAGAGTCTTGAATGGGCCCATCTTCCATAGCTTCCATCAGTCCATAGTTTATCCTTGACTCCACAAATCTTTTCAGTCTTGAAAACCCCATACTTTTTGCTTCCAGCTGTCCATTGTCCTGGCTTTTGGGTGAGACTGCAAAATACACCTCGCTTCCGTTAGTGTATTTCGCTTACTGATGTCAGAAACTTACACGTGAACTTATATCCACCTAGCGAACAGTCCTGACAATTTATTGATCACTTGCATTGGACTTCACTCAGCTTGAGTTGGCGATCGAAGATATCCACAAAGTCGCCTCCACAACTAAGTTTCTTTTCATGCTTTTAATGACTACAGCTATGTCCTTGCAGGCACATTTTGCTGACTCGATCCACAATTACAATCACAGCACACACAGGAGAAAATATCTTTATTAAATCTCGTACTTTTCTACCCGAAACCTGTGCTCATGAGTGTTTGCCTTCCATAGGCCTCAGGTTACGGAAGGCAACTACTCACAAGCTCAGAATAACGAAAATAAATGAGCTCATGCGTTCCTTCAACTGAACAAAACGTACTCGATGCTACATGCGGAGCAAACGAATGTCAAGGCAAGATTCCTAATAACAAGTCCAATACAATATTCACTGAAATGGAGTTAACCAAGTACATGCATGCTGACAAGAAACGGCTTCACACCAGATGGAGCGTATGAGTAAAGATGGTCAATCGAGCCTGGCGCATCAAGCAGTTGGTAGGACCTCCTTGATTCCTCCCTGCCTTTCTTTCCTGCGGGCAGTGAGTGATAGAAACTCGTCATCAGGCATGAGTGCAAGAGGAAGACATAGGAATTTCACGGGCATACATGAGCTTGACGAATATTCTCACTACGTCAAAAGAAGGCCAATATCAAACTCAGATTTCATAGTGCTCCAAACATTTAAAATCCCGCGTCAAAGGTCACATAGCCAGAAGCATTATATTACATATGTTTGTAAATAGATCTAGTTTTAATCTCTCCTTTGAATTCACATCATTGTATCTTGAGCTGTTGTAAGAAAAAATGCACCAACACCCATGGGAGGAGAAAAAGAAAGAGAGAGAGAAAGAGTGGTTCCACACACACCCTCCGAGGATTCGAGGCAGAAAACACCCGCGGTCACACCAAATAGCAGGCCACATGCCACTGCGCTGTTGCCTGTGGAGGTCTTATTTGGAAGTTTTGAGCTACTAAATAGACTTGCGCTATGGTTGAGCGAACTGTTCACCTAAACAACCCAAAACCAAAATTTTAGAGTCTAACATAACATAACATCTAACATAACGGATTTTCTTCATTTAACAAGTAAAATGGTAACTCGTCAGTAACTAGGAGCTAAACATAGATTATCGCATGGTGGATCTATGAGCGAACCACGCCTCGCAGCTATCATTCCGAAACTAGTTGATTTTCAACCTTTAAATCGTGGAAGGAGTTACAAGGGGTACGTAACGGTAAAAGTAAAAAGCCATCAATTGTCCCTTCATGTTCTCAGGTGCACAATCAAACACACTGAGATAACAAGTGATCCAGACAATGAAACCTCTTCAAATCCTGAACATTTTATGGTGGATTACATGGAAATCTCACACCTATTTTTCACTATATTGCAACTTTCAGAGAAAATATCGGCAATTTCTCGTTCGAATAATTTCCATTCTATCAGTAGGATGATCCGATTACGAATCTTCTCTACGAAGTCCAGGAAAGGCTCTGATAGCTGGTCGAAAACGACAAACAGGCCCCGTTATTATCTAAGAGAATTCAATTCACGTGCCACTCTGGGGGCGAGTGATGACAGAAGGAGAAATATATAACTTAAGGTAGTGAGCAAACAGAGATTCCACTTTGCTACAGAAAATGCCAAAGAATTCTCAACATATCGCTGCAATCGGGTCCAACATTTGGACTCAAATGAAACGTCGTTTACACAGAGAGTCGAACTAAGCATTCTATGACTGCTAAGACTCCATCAAGACCTTCACGACGATGTTTTCTCCTTAAACCCTCGGATTCAAGCTGGAGGTGTTTGGCCACTCATGTTCCAACATCTTCTGCATCCAACAAACGAATGCACCCAAGTTTGGGGAGCAACTCACATCCACTCTGCACCAGCGTTGGATACATTGCACGGCCAGAGACAACCGTCCCTTCGCCATGACGTTTGGAGCTTCGAAACTTCACGAACTCAAAACAATACTCCGGTCAAAAATCCATACGACCTCTGCGACGGGTCCATGAAAAGCAGGAAGCCATTAAATCAGTGAGCCCCTCGCACGACTACACTCGTCCTCGACGAAGAAAATCGCCCACTCAGGCCAATTCGAAATCCTCCCAAAGCTGGACCGTGCGACCTGCCCGGAGTATGACACGACGACGAGAGGAGATTCAGCAAAACCCCAGAAACCTCGAATTCTTCCGGATCACAGGGATCGAAACTCCCAGTGCTCAGTTCCTGCATTTCTCAATCTCCAATTCTCCAATTCTCGACGCCCGACGCAGCGCAATCCGACGAGGCTCGAAATCCATCGCCCTTGGCCTCGCGAGCTCCACGGTTCAAGAACTACTGCCAATTTCGACGAGGCTCTTCCTCGTGCCTCGGCCGGAATCGAATTCCGCGCCCACGTGGTTCATCAATTCGCCTACTGCGCTGGCCATTACGAATTTCGAACGCGGCTTTGCTTACTTGGTAAAAATGGCTGTTTCGGTTTCGATGCCTGTAGAGATTTCTGGAAGGAGAACTTTTCTTTCTCCATTATCGACCATAAGTGACGAATAGAATGAATTAACGATCGAAGATTAAATCGTTGAAGGTACGATGGACGTGAGTAATTATTCCACCACCTCCATATACTGTAATCATCAAAATCGACATATAACCAGGAATTTTATATTATTATCGTTAAATATGGATGTAATCTATTGAATCTACTTTGGATTTAGAGTATCTTAGCACGTTATGTATCATATCATATCTGTGAGATAATGTGGTTGGAATATTAACAAATCTTACTTTATCTAATCCATGTGAGATTTTGTCTCATGTTTGGCATTAGTAAATAAGAAAGTGGTTTGTTCTCGGGTTAGAAATATTTGGCAACTTATTGTACATGGATACTTTCAAGTTACCTTAGATTTCATTACTCATTTTTAAATGACTATATAAATATCGTATGAAAAAATACCTAAGAATCATCTCTTATTTTCTCACAAATACAACTTGAATTTTTGTTGTTGTAAGTCTTCACATCATAAATTGATGATGCATGAATATTAGAAAAGAAACGTATGATATGATAAGTGAATTTTTTTTGTCATATTTTGATTGAAATCCATTGATCATGTAGATCAACTATTAAACAAAAAATTGGATCAAATACGAAAAATAATATCCTTTAATGATGAACGGTTTTACTAAAAAACCAAATCAATAGACAATCAATTTTATTATTTTATTATTATTATGATGTTATTTTTGTTGGAAACATATAACATCATGCACAGTAGTTAATTTGGAACTTCAATTTTAAAAGGAAAAAACTATTAATATTTATTATAAAATTTATTTACAACAATGAAATGGTTTTGAATTGATTGAATTTCAAAAACAATACATATGTTCCAGGAAAATTTGGACTTTAAAAAAAATATTTTGCAACAAAGATTTCTATTTTTAATACTAAAGTAGATATTTCAATTTTTGAATATCATTATAAACTATCATTCACACAAAAAGTCAAATCTGTGAACAATTTTTTTATATACATAATTTAGACTAGCTTCAAATTTGTTATAAAAAATTATCAAACTATGGTATGTAGATGAACTTTATATAATCAATTATTTATATTAAATTTAAAATGAAAATCATATTCTTATAAATATTTTTATGTTGTATAGATGTTTGATTTGAAACTATTTGATATTTCAAACAATGGTTAATTTTGAAAGATATTTAAAATGAAATTCAAATTTCTACCTTGTAATTACAAGGGTATATTACAATGTGAGGGAGAAATTATTAATTTCTCACTCACATTGAATGAATTTAACAACTCGACAATAGGATGAAGTTAATAGTAATTTTCACTATAGTCACCATTAACATATTACCTTCGGATTGACGACATACAATCACTAATCAAACCGTCACTATTACCTTTGAGAAGATTCGTCGCGTGTGAGTAAATTTCTTGGAAATATCAAGAGAAAATTAATTGATGGGACAATCCCAATTGTAAAAAAATTTACTTACTGGGATACATCAAGTTTTGTTTTATACAATGAAATCCCCATGACAACCACATCATCCATGTTCTTATATAAATGCGACGGTGACAATGAGTATGATCGAACAACAACGTTCATAGAAGGAACTAACTATGGCATGCAAGAGCTAGTGCGAAAACCGTTGATCAAAGAAACTTTTGTTTTAATGAAAACTTATGAAAGTTGAAAAGAACCGTCAAGTACTCACGCACAAATCAAATTTCTATCGCTTCTGCAAAAAATAAATGTATTAGTAAGGTTCACTATACATTTTATTTTTTTTCAAATTTTGAATTCTTCGACTCAAATCGTGGTGTCAATCACATGTGATACTCTATCGAGCCAAGCAACTGGTGGCCACGTTGACAAACTAATACTTGATGTTGGCGGTTAGTCCCAATGCCATATCCTTTTTCTTGGTCCTCAAGCATCCAAAAAGACTCAACTCCCTTGCTCCGATATAGTCTTTGTTGCATATGGGACTGCAGTAGCTCCCGTTGATGATCAACGAGCATGAAGCTCAAGCGGCCTACAAAAAATATATAAATTGCTTAAGAATGGAGGTATGTGACGCTCACCTCATAGCCACAGGTTTCACCAACGCAACATTGGACGTTGTGTTATCGACAGTGCAAGCTTACGCGTTGAATCAAGGCTACGTCGTCGTGATTAAGCGTATACGCAAGGTCGGTTACACAAAAGATGGAGCTATCAAATAACTTGATATAGTGTGATTCCACTATGACAAACCGGTGGTTTTAATCCTACAATGAGTGTGAGATAAACTTAGCATAAACTAAGATATAACATATAATATTACACATGTTGAGATCAATTAGGAACAAATAAAAAATCATATGACAAAATATTTGTATATGTATCATAAAATTCTTCTGAAAAAACTTCAAATTCTAGAGTAGTTACCAATAACACCAAGATCAAAATTAAGTTCAATTATTTTAAGTGCATCTAAAATATTATAATTAGTGAAATAATTTGTATACTACATGATGTACTCAAATCCAAGATTTATGAGATTCATCTAATATTCAATTATACTAGAAAATGTCTTAAATTTAAGAATAAGATACATTATGTGATAAGACAAAGAAATTGATGTTTTTTATTACATGAGTTTGTACGCTAATTTGCCACCATTATAAATCTATTAAGATTAATCTATGAAACTGCTAAATGATGAAGTGAGGAAAAAACAAGTTTATGCTTTATAAGATATGTTTATTAAAAATTGTTGTTCATGAAAAAAATCAAAATACCATCCAAATTATTTTTTCAAACATATGATTTATTTCTAAATAGTATCAAAATAATTAGATTCTAGATATATAGATGTTTTAATTTGATTTGGGAGTGAGATTCGCATTATGAATGTGATGGTTAACATGTTATTATGTGGATCATCAAATTAAAAAAATCTTGTCCTGTGTATAAGTATAAAATAAAATGGAATTTAAAAATAATATTTTGATACATTTTACTTATATTAGACTGTAGACTCATTTATTATATGAAATGTCAAATATAAAAACTAATTAATCATTCAACTTGAAGATTAAAAATGACAAAAAGTATTAGTTTTTTATAGATGAGCTTTATATTAATTTTAAAATAATATGAATTAAAGTTTTAATTTATTGTTTTTAATTTTTATATTTTTATTCTTGAGAGTCTTATATGATGAGAAGTTTATATTGCACAATAGAGAGAAACATTCACATGACATAGATTTAACGCAATATTGTGTAAATCAAATAAATATATGAAAAATAAATAAAAAATCCAAGAATATCAAAGCATTAATCACATCTAAGAATTAAATACACCTAGTTAGCATTTCAATTAAAAAAATTACTTTACATCAATATTTGTTGTGTGTATTTTGCATTTTGATTTCTTCAATCATATTTTTATAAAAAGATTTATAAATTTATTAACTGAAATTCAAAAATATGTTTAGCAAAACTTTCATGTAATGATAATGTATCAAGTTTCAAATCCAAGATTTTGATTTGAATAGTTGACTAATTTAGTAATGTGATCACAACAATATATCAACACTGAAGTATGTTGTTTGTACAATTTATGTGTTAGTTTCCACATTCCCCTATATGTTATATGCTTTCGCGTGAAACAAGTTTAAGAACATTAAAATTGAAAAGAACACTAATCATATGACAAATGAAATCAATTGAAATGCTTTAAAAACAATAAAACAGGATTTCTTCAACTATTAAATGAATAAAATAAAAATTTACGGAGATAAAAATATTTTTTATTACCAAATGCAAATTAATCAGTTACAATAATACACAAACAACATGACGGTTTTTGAAATCTTGTACTTATATCGTTGTATTTGGAGATGATTAGTGTTTTATGTAAGTAGCTAGAGACATGTTGTCTGGCATAAATTACCAAGTATGTTTAAAAAGTAATACAGATGATGTTGAAGTTATTGTTCATTGCCCACATTTAAATTTGATAATCTCCGTAGTTTCATATAACTTGAAGAAAGCTATATTTTCATTTAAAGCTAAAAACTCATAGTTTTGAAGTTCATCATGATTGGTATTTGTTCCACTTTAATGAACTCGATGCAAATAAGCTTTATTTCTAAATGCAAAAATTTAATCAAGTTTAGAGTTATGATATAAACACATATCAACATTCTTTACTTACACACTTTCAAACTATGTGGCAAGCAACAAATCCATAATATCATCATCCGTTTCACCAAGAATATCACATTCATTTATGGATGCGAACTAAGTAGAAAAACTCATTGATGTCGAAAAAAACAAATGATAAGGAACTTTAATTATTTCAGTTTAATTCTGATTATTCGTCACCACCGAGTTCTGTATCTAGGGGGGAAGGACTTGCTCACGGGGAATGCTCTTACCAGATCGGCCAGCAGTCATCAGCCCCCGCTAGCCAGGATAGAATTTGCCTCTGGATATCAGAGCGAGGATAGAGACGAAGAGCCGTTGATGCGCCGAAAGTCTTCTCATTACGAGTTCTGGAATCGGTAGCGGGAGAGGGGAAACAGTCTGAAAGAGGCGACGGCGAGGGCTGGATCGTTGAATGTCCAGCGATGAGCGCAGCACATCGTACTGTTATGAGGAATCTTTGAACTCGGCCTGCGAGGAAGAGATTCTGGTGCCGCCGGACTCGAGAAAGATGGTCCTTCGCGCCGCAACGAGGAGATTTTGATCGTTCGAAGGGTTGTCTCCGCTTGGAGTTGTAGGAGAATCTCGAAGCGACTGAATGTTGCGATGTTGGAATTGACTCCCTGTTAGACTGATCCCATCTTATGGTTACGCCCAGATGGGTGAAATTACTGTCAAAAGCGAGGGATGAAGAAAGGGGCAGTCATGTTTCTAGTCGGCTCGTGTCTTCCCCTGTCAGCTCATGAAGTTTTAGGGCGTCTTACTTCTTCCGAGTCCGCTCTTCTCTCTCTCACTCTCTCTCTCTTCTGGAGGATGCGTAGAAGTCGACCTGCCCGAAATACATGTGCAGATTTTGGTCCAGCGCACCGCTGAATCCAAATTCCAGAGAATCATATTTTGGAAGTGAGTTAACCGCACTACCGTCACAATCTCGAGATGAAATCATGGGTAGTGCAATTAATTCTCTTCCAAACTGTGAATTTCAGTGAAAAGGTGTAAACGAATCCGGATCCTTCCATTTCAAGCTGACGCCTCCGCCAAGCACAACGCGATATGTGGAATTTGGATTAGTGAACGTCAAGGCAGGACTGCCCAGAATCATATCTTTATAGTTCGTAGAGTCTGTTTATATGATTCTACGATCAAACGATTAAATAAACATGAATACGATCTCCTCGATCACGAAGTGAAGGTTTGTCGCTAGATTCGCTAATGCAGAGTCGAATCACATGCCCACGAGAATCTCGTGACGCTATCAAAGAGGCACTCTTGCAGCTTGAACGGGATCAAGCCAGGCAAGGCAGTACAAGGTGGGATCAGTGGGCCACATCTGCCACTCGGGAACGCATTCCACGAGCTCATAGACGAAACTGGATTCAAAAGAGGAGCTAGTTGCAATTATCGTGCAACATGTTCAATGGGAACATTTCAAGTTCTTGCTTCCCGGCACTGTTCAACGACGAGTATTTGTTCAGTTCTCAGTACCTCTTTCCGGTACATCACAAGTACGTTCGCTAGGCCCTGTCTGATGGGGTCGTACTACACAATCCTGTGCGAAACTGTGAACTTAAAAACCAAACCTGGATCGGAGAAACTGGAACTTAGTGTGGAACATGTTTATCGCATCCGCAAACATTGAGGGCGGAAGTTCACGTGCGACATCCCGTCCGCCAAATTCTAACTGGGACTTACAGCGCAATTACAGAAGAAAACTGCTGCAAATTGTCTGTGCAGATGAGATAACGGATTCATCTCAAATCAGCTGAGTGATAGAGCCGAATGGGATTGAATGTACAAAGTTTCTGTAAGCAAGTACATTTCAACGGAGGGACATCTTTCAACACAACAAATGCACTTCAGGTGTCACCAACCAGATCAAGAGTGCTGAGTTTCAAGAGCAAACACATGCTCAGACACTGATTATCCAGACGCACGTCCTGGCATTGGAAACGAAGAATCCACAGCACCATGCTCCATGCATCCATAGCTGATCACAGAAACAGAGAGCAGCAATTTGGAGGGATATATCGTGGAAAGGTTTGACCAAGTTACTGCAGTAGGAAAACTGTACTACGTCGATGAGTCAACCACGTAAGCAGCGAAGATCATCGTCTGGCCAAGTACAGTACAGTGCTGGCCCCCGCTCTCGGGAGAGAACGGGTCACGGCCACCCACCCGTCAATCGCCTTCACGGACCGGGCCGGGTCGGGTCGAATCGGCTCGGGCTGCTGGAACTCCTGGACCCGACCCGGGATAGGGCGGAAGGCCCCGATTAGGGCAAGCCCTAAGTCACCATGCCTCTTATGCAGCTCCAGCGTACGCTCATCTCCTTTTCAGTTTCGGAGGTGGGCGAGGAGTTGGTCGCAGAAAGGTGGCAAGATGTCGAAACGAGGTAGGCTTCGCTGAATCTCTGAGCAAAATCGAATGGCTTCGGTCGGAAATAATGTGGAAATGGTGTCTGTTGGGGGCTTCCGTCATGTCGGATTGTGTCGTTTGATTTTGAAGGGAATGGAAGGGATTGTGGCTTTTTCTCGTCTCGTCGTGTAGAGAAGACGAGGAGATTCGGCAGGTGATAGTTCTCTTCAATGGGTGCGAGTCGGAAGTCTTATGATGCGTCTCTTGTATGATCAGGTCGTGGAGGTTCCTCCGGGAACAAGTTCCGTATGTCATTGGGTCTTCCTGTTGGTGCTGTTGTAAATTGTGCCGACAACACCGGAGCCAAGAATCTCTATGTCATCTCCGTGAAGGGAGTGAAGGGTCGCCTTAACAGGCTCCCCGCCGCTGCCGTGGGTGACATGGTTATGGCAACTGTGAAGAAGGGTAAGCCAGACCTGAGAAAGAAGGTCATGCCTGCTGTAATTGTTCGCCAGCGCAAGCCGTGGCGCCGCAAAGACGGAGTCTTCATGTACTTCGAAGGTATGTGGAGGACGTCAGTTTATGTCGTTCGGAATCCATCTGTTAGCAGTTTTGTGCTTGCAAAATGTATCTGGGAGCATAAGATGTGTTGCGGCTGACATGATCTGTTTCCCGTTACAGACAACGCTGGAGTCATTGTCAACCCTAAGGGAGAAATGAAAGGTAAATCTCTCATCACAGCCCATCCTCTTCTGCTATGATCGTCATGCGTACCAGTGTACTTCATCCATCTCACCTTCTATCTGTAATGTATGCAGGATCTGCTATCACTGGACCTATTGGAAAGGAATGCGCAGACTTGTGGCCCAGGATTGCCAGTGCCGCCAACGCAATAGTATAGAAAATTATAGGTGGGAAGAGAATTTATCTCACTACCCTTGATCTAGGGGTAGTGCAATTGGAAGCAGGGCTACCCCCGGTACTCGGCTTTCCGAAGTCGGGGCATTCAATTGGAAGTGGGATCATTCGTACCGTAGCTTAGGTTTACATCCGATACTGTATTGGAGCTTCAATTTTGTACATCGAGTTTTCTAAGACGGTGCGGGTTGTGAATCTACTGGTGAATGGTACCGAAAGGTCTGAATGGGCTTTTCAATTTTCAAGTTGTGCGTAAGAACGAAAGTGACCTCAGGGTTTTCAGGGTTCTCATGAGAGAGGAAGGATCTTTGTTAGTCTGAAAGGTATGATTTGATAAAATACGGTAGACAGCGAAGGTCATGAGGAGCTACTGCCTTGAGTATTGACCCACTGAAGACCATCTTGGTGTTGTGAACTGAACGTGGATGGTATGTGAGAGAATTACGCTACTAGCTGATGTCTTTGGTGTCTCCGTAAATGAGTATTGCAGCTTAAAACGAAATAACGTACATGTAACAGAGATATATCGAAAAGTGAATTGAGTAGAGAAACGAATTACGTGTCAATCACAAGAAAGGAACCTTGGGCATGTTGACTATGAGGCAGGAAGGGAAGAAGTTATAAGATAATGTTTGTAGTCGAATTTGCTCACGTGCCTCGAATAGTAAGTAAACGACTGTAAGGAAATGTATGTTTGCATGAAACCAACCGAATGAAGATTAAATCTCCTAACGTGAACCATCTGTATCCTTCACGAGAGTAGAATGTAGTAATGACGGTTAAAGCGTCAAGTTTGAATGATCTCGCAAGCATCGAGTTGAGTCAATGCTAAATGATATAGAGAAGAAAAGAGATTATTGCTGGAAAATATGACATTCACATCCAGCAGTTGTAAACAATAACGAAAAGAAATTTTAACTTAACTCTGAAAATTGTGTTCGAAATAGAATATTTCTTGCAATTCACGCTAAACCTCCACTTCTGAATTGAAGAAAGTGAACATGAATAATAAAACGTTATAAATTACCTGAGTATTGGAAAAGTTGTGAAGTTAATTCTAACCTTACAATTACAACACTTGCGTATAGATTGAACTTATCCCACACGTTCTACAGCCAATGAGAAATTATTCCCCCCTAGCTGAACCGCACAAGCTCTAGAGTAAATTAAATTAGGTTGACTCCAACATCAGTGGGAGTTATCTCTCAACAGACCACCATAGACAGTAATAGCATCAGAACCGTTGTAGCAATAACTTGCACGAGCAGTGGAAAAGCGCTTAATCTCCATCTTAGTCAAAGGTCAGAGAGTATAAAACCACAGAAATTTGGAACTGTTATTATGAAACCACAGTGTGCAGATTTTGGATGGGACCGAACCTTTGATGGTTTCACCGAAGACGGATCGACTAGTGGCACAGAAAGGCACATATCACTTTCTCTTTACACTTTCCAGTGGTCGAGTACTCGGCTTTTAAGTGGGACTTCAGTGCAGCAGATATGTATCAGTCACAATAAAACCAGGAAATCACGGGTAGAGGAACGCCGATCCAGTACTGATGACTGACCTTCACCCTAGCTCTGCTGAAGAACCTTATAAAGATCACGTGCAGACCTTGATTCGATTCGTTCCTACTCACAAAACCGAAGGCGTTTGATGTTCACAGGCAGATTCAATTCTTCCATTTCTTCGGCATGTTGTGCTCCGACCACACTCATGCTAACCAAAAACCAGAACCGCAGCTCCAGGTAAGGTACTGACTGGGTTGGGCAGTCCTTCACTGCATCTATTCGAGCAGCTCTTTTGACGAGAACCCTGACCCTTGAGACGAGCGGACATGGCTTTGGGGTAAAGGTCATCAACAGCCCTATGGCTGTCAAACTGGGCAATAAATGAAATGGGAAGCAATACAGAAGACTTATCACGGGACGCAAGAATTGAAATAAGGATTAGAATAAGGATGGATGTATTACATTATTTTGATTTATCTTTTGATTACATTTTCTTCTGCTTGATTACACAAGAGTATCTTTTGAAGTGGTTAGCATGACGGAAAGCAATCTCTACGGTCGGAGACAAGGAACATCCAACGACGACGAACGACACCATCGTTGGAGATTCACAGAACTCTGTGGCACAGGGAAAAGCGAAAGTACAATTTGGTGCTTAATATCGACGGCAGTAGTGCATTGGTAAAGGAAATAATTCATACAAAATGTTTTTTCGGTCTGAAACACTGAACGGGGGCAGAATGAGATGCTTAAAATCTCATCTACTTTTAATCTCCAGCGCTCATGAGCAAATTCTTTTCGGCTACGAGTTGAGCTCCTGTGCAGGTTCACCATTCGCTAAAATAAAACCCAGAGAATACAATTTCTAATTGCTTGCTATTCTGTTTTGTTCATCTGTTTCCGCAGTGCCTCCAAGAAGGCATCCTTGTCAGCCTGAGGAAGACCATTTAGAGAACAATCTCCCACTCCCCATTCCGCGCCACGTTCGCAGTACTTGTCCTCAATCTCCTTCCTGTGCCTGCGAAACGAAAATTACAACTTGAAATTCTGTGGAGAACAGCTCCCGATTGAAAATTTTGAGCTCCGACAATAGACAGCCTTCCTCTTATGTTGCTCAAACACATTGCATCCAGTTACCCAAACCACTTGACTCCCGGCCTCGGACTCTGGCCTTCTTGTACCATGAGACTGTCTTCCACATTCAATGAGTTCGTTTCGACGACAACGTCAAATTTACATCTTATCGATCAAGCTTTAGTAAGTGAAAAGAGAAATCTGGCTTCTAACAAAATGCACATCATCAGAAGGGACAGAACCTTCTTCGAATATGTGTTTCTGGTTGCTCAACGGATTATCTAAATCCAGGATTCTTGCCAGTGCATCTGCCGAGTTGTAGCCATCCAATTCCAGTGGGTTTGTTCCGACAACCTCATTCTAATTATCCACGAGAAAGTCAAAGCTCTAAGACTGACAGTCTAGCTTCAGTTAATGGCTCCGGCCAATCCTAATTTTCCCGCAGACTACAAAACCTTGTCTTCAGTATCGGGTGTCAATTGTTACAGACAAGATGCCTCACACAACCTGACGGTTCCTACACAGGGAGTTCGCACTCAGAGGACCAGGAAAAAAGAAACATTGAAAGAGCATCTCCATCGAGAAATCGACAACGATAATCATGGTGGACCCTGCTCTGGAAAGATCTGGCACCGAGTTAGGTTATATCTTTTTTCTTGTTCGTTAGACCAGTACCTACAGGAAAATGGGAGAAGAAGAGGGAGAAGCAGTTGGAAGAAGGGTCCTCTGATTAAGTAAAAATTCTCCAAGAAGACGTCACTTACAATTCGGCGTTTTCTTTCGACTTTTTCAGGAGCCCTTGAAGATACGGGGAGGCCTTGAATCTGGAGTCAAAATCTTCGTACTTTTTCCTGCTGTTTTCTGCTTCCATCAAGACTGGGGTCAGCTTCGGGGCACACTTTGATCCGATGTATGTAAGCCACCGCGTCCACATCGGCCGAGCTGGAAAACTCGACCCCGGTACAGCCTCAGTTGACAACCAACGAAGCTGGATTCGACTCTCGGGTATACTTAACAACACGTACCTTGCATCTTCTTGAGAAAGTCTGGTTCAGGAAGCGTAGGGAGCTGCAATGACTCCAGGCCTCCAGATCCTGACAAAATTCCTGCCTCAACTGCATCACAAAATTTGCTATGAGAAGAAGCAAGACGAAACCGCTCAAACCGGGCACTGGATCTTTCTTCGACAGAGCCTCATCATCGTTATGGAGATCAAAATTGTCCATCAATGTTCCCGCGGGCACGCCATATAGAGAATTGGGTGAAGGAAATTCCTCCGAAAGGAACTGATACACTGTAGTACGAATCCTCTACATTCATGGCGGAATCGATAACCGAACGAGATGAATTCACGATTCTGACCAACCTGGAGTCGGAAATGCCGTGAGGACCGTGCACGCAGCAGCCACGGGAAGAAGAAATGCAGCGAGAGACGAAGGATTCACACTTTCCAGACAAGCCGTGGACAGGCGGGCGAATGGTGAGAGCTTCGGAATTTGAGCTTGAGACGCAGCAGGCCTCAGCGTCGAGGGAGGTTCGGCCTGGCAGCGACATCCTGGGGCAAGGGGAGGCGCTTTGAGCCCCAGAGACGGACTCAGGCAGAGCTGCATGATTTCTGATGGAGCTCACTCTGCGCTGAGCTCTTCTCTGGCTATGGCCACCACCTTCGCCACCACCCAAAACCCAGAATCCCAGCAGTTGGCGTTCGCGTCCCTCCCACTTCAAAGCAGCCTGACACTCGAGGCACGGCCTTGACCGAACTCTCCCCTCTACCGAACTCTATGCCGGGCTCCGTGTTCTCCTGTGGGCGCGGGGATAAGTTGAATATTTCCCCTTTATCGTTTGCGCTTTTACCATGTACGTGTCACTCTGTGCTGCTTGCTCTGTCATCTAGGGGGGGGCTCCTGACCCTCGCAGCCGAAGTCAGCTCCGAGAATTTCACATCGATGTATGAAGGAGGCCTTCGGGCAGTCCCCATTTCCTGTAGGCTCTCATCAATCTGGCTTTCATCGATCCATCCCTCGCACAGTCTCGAAGTGAATTACTTCCCGGCGACCATGGCTTGTTATGAACATTCTGTTGGCACAATTGGAGCAAAGGGCTCGGTAGTATATTGTCGTGGCGTCAGTGGTGCTCGAGTGCAGTGCCGATCACTTCCACGCGAGAATCCTGAGTTTGATGGTCGTTCTTATGGAACTGCTTGTGTCGGGTCTGACATGTGGGGAAGTCCGTGCTCCAATTGGAATAATGCAAAGCTGGCACACGATGAGGGCCTCGGAATGGCAACTGTTTGGGGGCAACGGGGGAGGCCCTGGGCGCTCAGGGTGTTGCTATAGCAGCATGAGGTGGTATTTGCAGCATGCGGTCCCTCGAACACGGATTTGGTGCAGGGAAGGAGGGAAGTTTAGTTTCCTGTGTGCTGCAAGGACAGTACTTTCTCCAAATTTCTGCTTCTTCTGTGTGCAGTGCGAGCAGAGCCGGACATGAATTGCTAAACCTCGTGCATTTACGAGCCCGGTCTGCCGTCCATCATTCGGGCAGGTCTGGTGTGGTCACAGTCGGAGTTTCTACGTTCTGCAGAGCAGCAGCAGCAGCAGCAGCTGATCAACGAGCTTCGTGAGGTACCATCCATGAAATGTACATAACATCGTAAAATCTAAGACAAAGCTGGCGTGCCAAGCGGATGGCGTATCATATGTCTTCGTCCGAGCGTCGACGATCGATCAGAGGCAATCCTCAAACGGACGTGGGCATTTCAGTATAGAGGGTTAATGAGCTCAGCAGCACACGACTCGACGAAAACACTTTCGGATCTTCGTTGAAGGGGACAAATTTCTATTAACATCGGCCCGGAATCGTCACCCGGTCGCAACTCCAGCTGCTCGTCAAAATTGAGTCATGACTCTTGGCATAGCAGAGTGGCACACTGGACGTGGCAAATGCACTCGGACCTCGATAGAACTTTCCAAATGCGAACCAACGGGCGGCCTTCACAGCGGCCTCGAGAAAACCTGCTTCCCCTCGTTCAGAAACTGTACAAAATGCGAATGCTCTAGGACGCGACATTACCTACGACGGACCCCAAGGGCCACATCCGTGACTATATACAACTCGGAGGTGCGCAGAATCAGACGAGAAGAAGCTCGACCCAGAATCAGAATCAGAATCAGAATTCAGCTCAGAGTCAATCGAACCGAATCTGTGGCAGGCCCGAATCATCCGCCTGCTAATAAACCCTGACAGAACAGACCATTATGGAAAGGCATCATCATCACTCCATGTTCGTGTGACGAGAAACCATCCCTTCGACCGTCTCGTGCAGCTTCATGCGGAGAATGAATGTGACGATTTCGAAGAGAATGTACATGGCGCCCTCGTACAAGCTGCCCATGGGCAGAATCTTGTTCTCGGCCAGCAGGCAGATATACTCGGGATCACCTTTGCAGGCGACGATGACCTCGCGCTCGATGTGCTTGCCCTCGAGGGGAATCATGTAGTGCGGGATGGGCTCGGGGGACGGGACCCCGACGACGCCCAGCTCGCCCTTGGGAGACTTGGGCGACTTGGGAGACTTGGGGGACTTGGGGTCGTCGTCCGAGGGGGGGCCGTCGCCGGCGGCGCCTTTCTTCTTGAGAGACTTCTCCTTGTTCATCTTCGAGTAGTCCTTGGGGGCCTGGCCCTTGCGAGTGTCGTCCTCCAGTTTGGCGGCGGCCGCCTTCTTGGCGTCGTCCTTGCGCTTCTTGTCGAGCATGCCGGGGGCCGACGCGGGCAGGGGCTCGTCGAGGATGTCGAGCGGCTTGTAGGAACGATGGAAGGCGTGCAGCTGCTCCATGGGACGGCCCGGGATGGAGTGGCGGTCCCAAGGACGATCGACGGGCAGCTGCCCGGCCGCGGGGTCCTCGTCCTTCATGGTCTGCGCCGGCAGCCAGGCGACTTCGTGCGCGAGCTTGGCCGCGGTGCCCTCGGGCTGCGCCGTGACGAGGAGCACGGTGGCGCCGGCCTCGCGCGCCGTGAGCATGAGCGCATTGACGCTGCTGAACTCGCCCGGGCCGGCGCTAGCGATGAAGAGGTCGCCGGGGCCGAGCTTGGGGCACGTCATGTCGCCCAGGCACGCGGCGCCGAGGCCCAGATGGAAGAGGCGCATGGCGAAGGCGCGCATCATCAGCCCCTCGCGCCCCACTCCGTGCAGGACGATGGCGCGCCCTCGCGCCAGCATGATGGCGCGCACCAGCTTCTTCGCCGGGTCGTTGCGGCTCATCTCGCAGCGGTTGAAGACCCGATGAATCTCGGCCAGCGCGCCCGCCGCCATGAACGATAGCGTCGAGGTCGCTGGCGCAACCTCGGCCCTGGTCGCCGTCGCCGCCCTCTCCCGGAACTCGCTGTCCTCCGCGTGCACCATGTCCGAAATCCCTTGCGGCAGAGGCAGTACCGGCGCTGGCAGCAGCGGCGTCGGCTCCCGAGATAACGAAATCCTCTCCGGTGCTGCTCTCGCTGCTGCTGCTGCTGCTAATTCTGCTGCTTCTGCATCTGCGAGCGATTGCGCCGCTGCCATCGATGCCTTCGATCCCTTCTTCCCTGCTGCTGCTGCTGCCGGAGGGGAGCCCGGGGCCGATCCTTCCGATGCTTTCCTCACCCCGGCCGCAGGTGAGCCCGGAGGGCTCGCAGCGCCCTTCTTGGCTGCAGCCGGAGAGCCTGGAGCTTTCGACATCGTCTCTTGAACGAGGACGAGGACGAGAACGAGAACGAGGGATTCGCTGCCTCGTGCCCCGCGGCGATCGAATTCGATGTCACTCGCAGGCCTTGGGTCTCTGTCTGCTCTGTGCCGAGGATCGGGGACATGGCTGTGGCGACATTTGATGGAGGTCGGCAGCGGCAGGAGGAAGAGGAGGAAGAGAGAAGGGAGAGGGGAGGGTGGGGGGTGCTGCTCTCGTCGATCGATCGTCCAATGGCAGGACGAAGATGCGCACGAAACGACGTGACGCGGGGGACATCACTTGACGTGGCATACAGACAGACAGCCATAATAGGCCTGCAGGCCGGGCTATCTCGGCCGATCATCGGAGCACGGTCCACGATTTGTCTCGACCGGGAATTGGATTTTTAAAGCTTTAAGAGATGACGTCTGACTCGGAAACCCTGCGCTTGCGCCCACGGGCTCAGAAAGCGCACCGTCCTGACAACAATCGGACGCAGGCTGAGATTGGGGAGCAAGCAGAGGGCGTTTGGGCGCTCTCGACTGAGAACGACCTTTATTCGAGTGGGAAGCAACTTGCGATGGAGGAATGGAATCGAAGGCGAGGGATGAGCTGCACGATGGCAGTTGCCGAGGGCCGGCGACTGGGCCCTCGAGCTGGGAGGAATTTGATGAATGTGTGTACTTTATTGTGGCAGAGACATGGAGGAAATGTTGTTATCGAAAATAGAGAGGGGACGAGGGGTTTGAGAGTGAGGAATCTTGCTGCCAGGACTCCGTGCGCCGAATTTGGGAGCACTGGCTACGAGTCCTGCTTTATCCATGGATCTCGATGCTGCCGAGGGTTGCGGCAGCTGCATCTCCTCTCGAAGTCGAGCGGCGAGTTCCAGCGATTGGCAGATGCGCATCCGCCATGGTTCAGTTAATTGTAAAACCTGCTCGCCGAGAAGGAACGAGACAAGGGTCGAGATGGATGGAAGGGTTCAGGACCTTCGGCTAGGCCGATTATGGAGCTCTTCAGTTAGAAATGCTGCGCAGCACAGGTCGGATTTCGCAACAGTCGGCCCCTGGATCGGACGTGAGGGCTTTCTGGGTTTTCTTCGACAGTTTCTTGATGCGCTCCAAGAGCTTCGCGATGGCCGTCATCTTGATTCTCCACATCAAGCTCCCACAAAACGTAGACACGCTTTCTCCGAGATGCACCATTCTGGCTCTCGTGCAATCCGATGTCCTCCTCCGAAGCGATCGCAGTCCTCCCTCTTTCCAAGGAAGTACGGAATTTGCAACCGACTTCCTCCGATCGCCCTTCCTTCAATTCGAAGCCGCCAGTCACGATCTGGAGATTCTGGTACGAGCGCGGATCACCCGATCACTTAATCAATGCTGTCGACAAGATCTCCCGAAGCTAATGAATCTGACTTACGAAGAACTTTGACAATGACGATTGCCAACTTCTAGGAGCTTCTGTAACCCGAGACTGGTACCTCTGTGCGAGGAGATGGATGCGACCATGTGGACACCCAGTCAACACCCAAGAGGGGAATGGTCGGCGTGTGGGGTGGTCTAAACATCGTGAAGCGTGATGGACTGGGTTGAACCTGTCTCTACTGCCTACTGCTCATACCACAGTAGTAAACCATTCTGCTCGACCTCGAGAGCTGCTTTCCGTCTGGAGAGTTCGTCCACCTGCTCGTCGTCGTTGCTGCAGTGGAGATCTTGAGCTGGGTTGAGTTTCCAGACTCTGGAGGCTCTGAAATAATGATCAGTCTGGACTGACTGACTTCCTTCTCTTCTCTTCTCTTCTCTGAGGTCAGGGTGACTTTGAACCGCGTCAAACAACTGCCATGTTCTTGACTTCCGGAATACTTCCAATTCGCAACGATGTGCTATGAGAATGTCAAACATCCGACGACGACGAGAACCACCTGTAGCTTGTGCGGATGATTCTGAAACCCTGCCGAGTGGATAATCCTCCCAGAAGCAGACAAGTTGAGGTTTTGCATCGCCACGTTCGATGTGTTGACCTCTCTCTGTGAGGGCAGAAAGAGGTCGGAGAGGAGTTTGAGGAAATTGGTGTGTCGTCCCGGATGATATAAAACTGTAACCGCGGGCTCTGAACAGTTCCAGGTGAGGGATAATTCCATTACCACGACTGACTGAGAGTCGTCGAATCACATGGACTTGTGGCTCACCACAGTATGAAATATGATTCTTAAATCCGATTTAATCTAACAGTAATATCTATTAGTCAAAGAACAACATATTATTCTTCCGTAGTTGAACACTCGGCTCGCTGCGGATAAAAATCAAAGGAGTCGGAAATTGCCGCCACTGGACCGGCGGCATTTCCCGACTCCTTGGGCATGCATCTCCAGTTCTGTACAGGGGCTGAGGTCACAATTTTCTGAATTTTCTGAATTTTCTGGTCTTTGGGGACTTCGTTCGCAGAAGTGAGAACGACTCGAACGATTTGAAGCTCGTTGCCGTACTGGCCGAGCCGAGATTTTCTCCGTGGATCTGAATTGCTGTAATTATCATATTTCTCGCTTTACAGGGTACATGGGCGAAGCTTTTTCCTGTGAAGTCGGAGGAACGTGCATCACACCTGACGAGCAAGGAAGGTTGATGTTGTCCAGATCCACAACCAACAATTTGATCTTAGCAGCCTAGGAGATTAGTCAGTACACACGGAAAGTACAAGGTCGGATATCTTTACCCACGACTCCAGAGATCGGAGCCTAAACACGTTCTTCCTACCTGCCATCACCTCAATTGAAGTTCTCTCCTGCTCGGCCCTTGTGCTTATCCTGAGTTTCTACGGAAGCAGATCCACAGGGTCTCTCCGGCAGGCACCATATCCGAATGTTCGACACATGATCGGTCCATGAGGATATTTTAAATTTCAGACTGAACATTGTGGAAGTGGAGTTCTCAGATCTACAGAAGATAAGGGGAAAGTAGTTTTCTGTATGGTGCTCGGCTGGCGGACTGTGCAGGCATACACAAAAATAGATAGGAGCAAGGGCGATCTGAGTGGTTCTGCAGCTTCCAGGTTTCAGATTCCAACATACGATTGACTTCTTTCTACTCGGAATTCTTCATCCGAATATCACTATTGCCAAAAGTGCTCCCTTGTATAATAATGCTCATTCAGCGTTCAGGCTCTGTGTGGGTTCAAAGGGGCTTCTCACCGCATTTCAAGTTGACCAGCGGCGAACTACAGAACCTGTCCGAGTCACACGATGCGCTCTGCGGGCCAAGCGAAGGCTGTGCAGCTAACTATTAGGATAAATGAACTGCTAATATTGCTTTGCTCATGGCGCATTGTGCGTGCAGACTGCAACAGTACGGCGAGCATGGCATAGGGAAGCCGGATGTTTCCCTTCACAACGCTGGTGAGATTTACAGTTGGCCCACACGCTGCACCACTGTTGGCGATTCTCGGTGGCTGCCAATTGTACTTCGCCTACCCCGTTCTGTTCATCAACCATGTGGCAGATCCAGTGAATCAGCTGAGAGTGAGGTGGTCACAGTTCTCGGCAGAACGATCTGGTGCGTGTTAGGATTTACAAACATGCGAGTGACTGGATCTCCATGGTTTCCCTCTCGGATTGCATGTCTACCGGCTCGCTTAGTGAGAATGTGTCCGCTTCGCCGCAAGTAGTTGTGGATGTGGTTACAGTTGCATAGGTTCCGTTCACCTCGGGCTTTCGAGAGATGTGAGCGGAGATTAATGTCGTTTGCAATGTACGAGGCCTTGTTGCTTCACAGGGTAGGTCAGTTGGGCGTACCTTCAGAAGAACGATTTCTCCGTTTCAGCTTGCAGATGTGGTTATGATCACTGGCGGCCTCTAGAGGTACCGCCTTGCGTCTTGACACATCGAGCAAATCTTCGTGAGCGATAATGCTGGTCGAGAAAGGACCTCGGAACGAAAATTAGATCTCACCTCTCAACCGAGACCATGCTGAAACTGGGAACAGGAGCACGGCGACATGGAACAATCATTTGTCTTGGTATTTGTCCTGATTTTAACTCGATCTCGTATAGTCGTCTGTGTGTCTCTCGGGACACACAGACACCAAAACCAACCGGACGGTGAGTTTAACACATCTCGATCCACCGTGCTGCCGGGGTTCGGTGAAGACTCTCGGTCAGATGGTAGCACCATTGTCGTAATAGCATAATGCGCCCCACCATTCCGGCACGCACCTCCTCCTGTTGCTGCCCCAGCTGCTGCCTGCGAGGAAGTACAGGCGAGGGACGGACCGTGACTCGCACTGCAGGAGTCACGGACTCCAAGGGACCAGCTCGGGTAAGATTAGAACTCATGGCGAGCTCCAACAGAATCCAACAGAGAGTCAATCCTGCTGAGAATATCACCAGCTAGATCCGCTGCCAAAGTGTTGCAGAGAAAGAGCAGCTCGGCCATACGAGAGCCCGATGTGGTGCATCTCCCGAACCACGGCCTCGTCTAAATGAGGCTCTAGAATCGCCTGAGCACCGTGTCCCATTGGCCCAGACGCAAAGCAAGCCCTCATGCTTGGGAGACCACGTCGCTACAAGCGCCTGCCTGCTCAAAACCGGCTCTATAATTGGAGACACCACCTTCCTCGACTGCTGCTGCGTCGATGAGTGTCGCTGAAAAGCTCGGATCCGCTCCGCCGCAGACATTTTGCCTTTTGTGAGTCTAAAAGCGGGCTCATCATTGGAACCTGTACCATGGCCACACGCCGTCGCCTGTAGTCGTCACCAGAGGCTCCCGCTGCCTCCCAAACTCCCACAAACTCCCTCGAACTGCTCACGTTTTTGTCCACTGCCCGCTTCATAGCCCTACGTGGTTGGAACCAACGCTGTTTCCACACGAAAAGGAATCGTCCGGCGCAGTTACCGGGCGGTGGTGGCAGGAAGGTGAACCGCGTAGGGCTCTCTTCTCGGGCGTCCGTCCGTCCGTCCGTCCGATGGACACTACAGTCGACCGGGTTCAGGCTCCGGTACGACGGACAAAGCACTCGCGCTCAGGACAGCCACCCTCTGCGCTACCTCGCAGCCCTGACTGCACCTCGTCGGCTGACTCATCGCTCCGTCATTGGCCACGTCTCCGGCACCCATTCGCTCGCGCACACCTGGTGCTCGGCTGCCACCGTTTCGGAACCCGGTTCGGGATCGATTCACGGTCACAAATCCGGCCGTCCGCTACCGTGTCCGGTGCCGCCGTGACGCCGCGCATATCCTTCCGGAACGCGGTTGCGAGGCCTCGCTGGACGGGCGAGCGAGCCCAGTCAGCCGAACCACGTTGGCGGGAACGATCGTCGGTTTGGGGCGAATGTGTCCGTGTTGGCGGAGCGGAGAAGAGAGAAACGTGCGGGGGGGAGACGGGGAGGGGGGGAACAGCTGGGGGGGAATATGACAGGGCGCCGAAAGCATCCAAATCCCCCTGCTCCTGCATCTGAGCAGGCGGAGAAGATTATGGGATAATCCACCGGCACTGTGGCGATGGGCGAGGGGCGTGAGTCAGCAACGACCCCGTCTGCGCATGGCGCTGGGGCCGGGCTGCTGCACGAGAGTGACAGGCAGCCAGCCAGAGCATGTTTCTCCGGCGCCCGGGGGGCCCTTCATCCAATCCAATCCGCCAGCGCCCTCGAGGCGCTTATATGCGCGGCAGCGCTCGGCTCTCAGTGAACTTGTCTTCCATTTCCACTTCGGTGCGTAGAAGCCCAAGTTTCCCCAGAGCACTCGGGAGCAACCCCTCACCAGATTCGGAGGCTGAGCGCACGAGCAGTGGTGCTCTTGGTCTCTCAAGTCTGTGGAGTGGGCCAATCTCGGTGTGGAGGTCAGGTCAGCGATTCGCCGGTGCTTCGTCAGATCCGAGCACGCCAGGCACGAAACCAATCCAAACGAATCGAAATCAAAGCAAAGGAAAGGAGCAGTCGTCCGGTCTCTCGATCACACGAGGGATTTGAAGCAGGCCGAATTTTCGGCCGCCGTGCTCGCGCCAGAGCAATAGGTCTATCGACGCTCCGACACTGCCGGTCCTCGGGAGCAACTATAGGTCTATCAGTGCACTTGCAGTGGCAGGATTCTGCCAAAGTGCACGAGGAGGTGGGCGAGACGAGATCCGCGCGCCAGGATGTGGGGCAAGTACTGCTTCGTTCTGCTCCTCTGGCTCCTGGGAACCGCTCTGGTTCGGAGCTTCAACCAGGACCTCGAAGAATAAAACCAATGGCAATTAGGATTCCCAGGCAAAGGAAGCCTCGGCCCAAACTCTGTCGACATCATGCGGCTCGGGCTGCTGCGGTGCCGCTGCTGACCGCGCGCGCCGGCCGACGGGCCAGACGGGCTCGATCATGATCATTTCTGGACGAGAATCGACGCAATTCGGGCTTTCTCCGCGCAAATCTGAGCTGATGATGATCTGAGAGCCCCCGGCGAGCGAAGTTTGGCTGTGGCTCCACTTGAAGGAAGGGTCCCCCCCATCGATCACGCGAGCGGCGAGCTCCATCCATGGCCTCGCCCCCATCTCCGCCTCTCCCGGTCCTCCTCTGTCACATTTTCGAGGGCGGCAGGCGCAACTTCGCCTCGAGCTTCGACTCGTCGATGCAAAACGCAAACAAGCTGCTCGTCGCCTTCGCGCGCAATGTGCAGACGCTGAAGACCGGCCATGCCGATCTTCAAAGCGCTCGGCCGTCCTCCTCCATCCCTTCGTCGTCGTCGTCGCCATCCATGGCCGAGCCATCTGCCCATGCTCGTGCTGAATCCGAAGGGGCGCCCGGAGGAGGGCCCGATTTCAGTGCCAGTGCCAGTGCCAGTGCCAATGTTAATGCTAATGTCAATGCCAATGCCAGCGCCCTGATGCTGAAGACGTGGGGCAGGGGCAGGATCGGAGCCTCGCGGCAATGGAAGCCCGCCTCGGCCTCGTCCATCTCCCTGAGCTCCAGCGGTGGCATCTCCGAGCCCGCATCTGCCCGAGAGGAGGAGGAGGAGGAGGAGGAGGAGGGGGAGGTGATGGCGTCTCCGCATTTCGACCTGTCCACCGTGAGCGCCACGTCCGTCTTCGACATCGGATCGGTCGGGTCTCCTCTGCTGGCCGGCCCCGAAATTGCCACGGGCAAATCCAGCGATTCGGTCGACGACGATGCTGCTGCTGCTGCGGTGGTGGAGATGGCTTACGGGCGAGAGAATGCGACGCCACCACTGAATGCCCCGCGAGCACCACCAGCGCCAGCGCCATCGCCATCGCCATCGCCGCTGGTGGATATAGACGACGTACGAAAATTCGTCGGCAATGCAATTATAGCTTGCAGAAAGGTGCGAGCTCTGGGATTACGAGAAAGCTCGTGGGAGAACAAGATGCCATGGCGACAACCCCGGCCGCGATATCTAGCGAAAGGGCTCCAGCGGCCCCCCGAAGAGTTCTCTTCGGAGACTCAGAAACACGAGTACTACAGACGAGCGAGAAGGCGAGGGCGCTACCTCATCGGACCGACGCCCACTTGGTCCTTCATCGTTGCAGATCTCGCTCTGCTGTACTTCCTCATCGACAACCCTGCAGGCAAATTCCTTTTGTGAGCGAGCGTCACTGATCCAGACGATCCTTGCGCTGCGAACGATGTTCCCATCCTTTGTAAGTGCGCTCGCTTAGACCTGTCGTTGAGAGACCGAGAAATGGCACGACCTGTACAATCGACACTCATTTCGTCTTTAGACTAGCCATTTGTACACTTAAAGTTCCCCCGGGGTGTTAGACCATGGACCATAGACACATGGATATTTATTCACTTAGGCATCTCCCATCGTAAATGCCTTTTTTTGTAAATCGATAGAGCCCGTCCCTTGAGATACTGGATGCGTGACTAGACGCATCCTTGTGAATTAGAGGCTTCTGCTCAGGCCTTAAAACTTCCAGTCGAGCGCTTACCTCCGCTGTCGCTCTGTGGATACGCCTCTGCTCAAAACTGGTACATTTCAACTGAGTAAGCAGCGGACAGTTTTCTCTCACTTTTTCTCCCTTTTATCTTCTTATTATTTTGGGCTGTTCTCCTTCTACAAGGGTTTTAGAGTTTCTGTCACGATGTGAGTAGTATGCAGATTGTTCCTGAGAGGAAACCGGTTGATAGTCGAAGCTTTGGCTTTGGAGTCGTGCCGTGTGGCGGTGCGACTCTCCGAGTCGACTGAAGCTCTGGAGATGGAAGTGCGAGTTCGGGAGGAGAGCTCTAACAGCCGGCGGGGTCGAATTCGTCCCGTCTGTTTGGATCTGGTGGATCGACCTGTGAGATATGATGATGGATTTGTTAGAGTCTTTTGTGTAGTAAACGATACTGAAGCGTGAAGTAGGCACTGTTTCCATGTTTTTACTATTTTGAAAGCTGGGCTTTGCTTTCGACTTTTCCTCGGGCCAGTCATTGTATCTATTGTGAGTAGAGCTGTATCTGTCCATTGTAGAAATTCAGAAACCTGTCTCCTGCCAAGTTTTGGGAGGCCCCTTGTACATTTTTGTACACAACACGACATTCCTCTGTGCAAGGGATATGCCTGCACAGGCTTGTAACATTACTTATGCAATGTCAAGATCATGTGTAGTAAAAAATTCGGGCGTTGTTGCAACGTCGTCGGTGAATTGTTTAATACTGTCTTGTCTACGAGTTCCTTTGCATATCACACGCGGAGACAGAGTTGAGACAGAAAATGGTTGTGTACGTCGAGTTGCATGATGGGAAAATGTCAATTACCAGGTCGTCTCTCATGTGTACCGAAATGAGTTTTGACCCGTAAAACCTCTGGTTTAGCGAAGAGCCCTCTTCTATCCCGTTCTTTGGATTCGGGGGTTTAAGTTGTTTATCAAGCTTTGTCAACCATTCAGCAAATACTGAATGCTCGAGCTTCTGTTGCCAGCATTTCAGCATCCAATCTTACTCAAACCTGTACAGAGTATGATACACGAATAGCCACCGTCTGTTATCCTTCCAGATTGCGTCTTCAAACTTTATCATATGGTATTGCTCTATCTATTGCTGTGGTAGACTGTCTAAGGTCGCCTCTTTTACGTTGGATCCCCCCACTTAGCTTCATGCAATGTTTCACGTAGTAGTGAATTGCCACACCAGCATTTCGTCATGTAGATAGGATCTTTTCGGTAGCGGTATTCTGTGTCGACAGACCGGTAGGATATGCGGAATTTTATTGTGCAGACAGTCATGTGACAGTTGCGCTCTGTCCAGACACTGCTTCCATCTTCCAACTCCTACTACCACAGCTGGAAAGGCTTGACATCTCCAGTTTATGCCACAAGGGTTCCAAGTGTTGCTGATCTTTCCAGATCTGCGCTTGAGCTACGCCATCGGTGGAAGTCGAAAACTGCGAAAGAAGGTCCGGCTGTTCGGGTGAAGTAAGACTGAAAACAAAGCCGTTAGAAGTAGGCCATGTCCGAGGAATGACGGTACTGATGAAGGAGGAATCCAGATAGATTCAGAATATCACGGGTGTCACAGGTATTGATGGCCCTACAGGTTCACATGACTCGTGTGGACCTTTTGCTTGGCTGCCATGTAACGAGGACTTCAGAAATATTGAGGTGTAACTGTTACATAACTAAATATTTGGCTGTCCAGTCAGATAAACACAGTTGATAGACAAGCCTTGAAACCAAACTGAAGCCGACTAGCAAGGGATTCTTGACTTGATGCCGTGTTTCCCTGTATGTAATGCATGGCGAAATGTGGTTTCAGAAGACTGGAAGAACATGGCATCAATCCGGTATTGTTGGTATGAATCCGTATGGTCAAGATCCAGCTACTTTAAATAGGCGACGTCGTTGCATGCTCAGACCATCGAACACATGCATACTTAACCTGCATGTGCTACGAGTATCCACCAATTTCTTGAGATAGAAAGCCACATGCACAACTACATTCTTCAGTTTGAGCCCCGACCTAAAACCTGTTACTTCGAATTCCACTTGAAAGAGCTGTATGTACGGTCGAAGAAAGACAACATTCCAATTCTGAACGGGGCATCCGTCATATTCATACTTTTACTGTCTCTCTCTCTCTCTCCCCTTCCTAAATCGGTCTTTCTCAGTAGATGAATTTGCCACTTAGAATTGTTCCAAATGTGTCTTAAGTAAGTTTCTACTTACAGCCTTCAACTTTTTCGATCTGTTTGTGGATTATTGCAACATGATACTGCTTGCAATCATATCGTAGAAGTGAGCCCTAGCCTCGTAGGTGAATTTTCTGTGAATTTCCTGTGGTGGGCCGGCCCTCCATACCGTTAAAATGCCTCGTGTCTAAATCAAATCCCCGAATCGAAGCAATGATTCAGGACCACAATCGAATGTGGGACCTCGGAGATATTTTTCGTTCTCCCGAAATTCCTTTCTGCTACAGGAACTAAAAATTTGCCCACAACTAGTCAGACAATATCAGTTACTACTTACGTTGGAGTCGAAATAGATCGCCAACTCCCGTTGATCGTTCCCCTCTTCCAGTTGTGTGGTCGTTATCAACCAAGTGCTGGCCGGACTGGTTAGTTTGTGAAGTTTGTGCATTCCTACGATGAGGTCATGAAACTGGATGAGCCTGTTTTGTCTGATCTTGTGGATCATGTGGGAAGCTTTAAGGTTCCCTCAACCGTGAATCACGAGCAGAACAGAGTGATACCTGTTTTACGAGCTTCCCAGCAACTACGTACAGAGCTGTGTGCTTCATCAGCCTAGACGATTCTCCACAGAGGTCACCCTATTGGCAAAGTATGTTGGCTGATCCCCTCTCCCCTGGCGAGGGATGAGGTCCACTATTGCCTCCAACGAAATTGATACAGTTGCACGACTGGAGGCTTAGCGGTCGTCGACTGCAGCTGAAACTCGAGCTGGATTCTCTACTCAAAATCCTCCACCAGTAAGTAGCGACCCCAACCAACTGTACTAGAAAGTTCAAGCATGTCCAGCCCATTCCACTCATGTAATAATACTGCACAGTCCACTACCTCTTCCAAGGCAGCCAGCTCGGCAGCGTGCCTGCATACGTCGACGAAATGCTAGATCCGACATGACTTCATTGCAAGGATGGCAAGTGAGCAGGACGTCGAAAAGCCTTCACCCAAGGATCACTGTGGGCAGGGAGTAAACATTCATCTCATAAGATAGATCTGTCTGCTGCAACTTCCTGCGCCTTTCCAAACCAGATTCTTCTGCTGACTCTCAGCTATGCACAAAAAGCTCGTCTCCAGAAGAATGTTGCATTTGAACCCACTACTTTACACATCACCGTGGACACGCGCCCTTCTGAGAGCTGACCCGAGCAAAGCTGTGCACGCAAACGCATGTGGATGGAGAACACGTCAGGTTTCTGAAGCTCCAAGATGGTAGGAAAACACAACATAAAAAAATCTACGAACTGCAGCCCAAAAGCAGATGATCAAAAACAGCCCGGGTTAGTTCAGGAAGCAGTGGACGATGCTCTATTTTTGCATGGATCCCAGAACGAAAGCTTCTAGATTCAAGGGGCTTAGTCGACCGAAACGAGTACTTTCCTTTTTCTTCCTTTTTCCTTTTCTCAGATCGAGAACTATCGTCATGGTTTGTGAAGGAAGTCGACTTATGCAGCCTGGTGTCCTAGCAACGCATGAATGACCAGGCTCTGGAGAGATTCTCATCCGATCGAGGTAAAGAGTATTGGCAGGGGATAAAAACATGTGCCAAAATTGTATCACCAGAGATTTTGTTTGCATGTTTTCCAGCAAGGTGCATTGAATAACGATCTCGGAGATATCAAGTATCGAAAGGACATGCTTGGAGGGACCAGGAGAGAGCTACGGCGGTCGTATTCAGCTCCGACAGAGACATGGATTCCACCTAAGAGACAAGAGGAGTATCGAGCAAGTAGTGGAACAGGGTAGGCATTGAACTGAACTCGCTGGACCTGAACCAAGAACTTCCAGACAGGTGACTCCCTTGAGGTGAACAAAGGTTACGATACACCGAGGACCATGAAACGTGGTTCTAAGCAAAGATCCACGGACTTGCCTTTGCACAGCAGGAACATGACATATGTGCCAACGTGATTCACCGAATGGGAGTGAAAGTTTTCTGCCTTTTTAGACGAAAGGTGGCCAGCCAAATTTTTTCTTGTCCTTTGTGAAATCGAGAGTTTCTTGTGATGAAAAAGTATGTTCAAAATACTCCCAGATCTTCGAAGTAAAAGGAAATCGGACGGGTCATTGCCACGGATGGTCTGGGTCACGGATCCAGCTCTTTGGGTGACACCGTATAGAGATTTGGTTGATCTTCATGGGCCAAGAGATGAAAAAGCAAATGAGGGGCATTTGAACCTATCGATCAAATTCAAGAGCTACCACCAGTTCATTTTGACATTCTATCAATTCTTAACGACAAACGTTCTAGGAGCATATATTTTATGGAAGTCTCCAAGTTAACTCAGACCAGGAGAGTCACCCAATACCATCAGGTCAGCAGCAGAAACAGAATGAATTGACTTCTGTTCGGAATCAGATTTGCTTGGACTGCGCATGATGTGAAATTTGCTCAGCCACCAAACCCTCACCCAAGTAACGCGGCTAGATCTGCCTGTCTTGGAATGCTCCTGATCCTCTGTAAGACTGCTCCCGAATATATTTGACCTCCTGTAAAGTATTGAGATAAACTCGATGATCGTTATCGTCTGTGTAGTTCCAGTCGGTTCGGGATTTCCATATCTCGTATAACATGCAGCTGCAAACCGTCCTCCCTAAACGTAATGCTTTAAACAAGAATGAGGTGTAACCTCTGGACCCTACCTTCATTGATGACAAACATAAGAAGATTATAAAATATACTATTGCTCATCTTGGCAATAAAAACATTAAGATAATTAAATTTTAGAAAATCCTATGAATTCAGACAGAACCCACCCAACAGTATCAATGTTACAAGTAGCTTGAGGAGGCCGTTTCGGAATCTAAGAAGGCTTTATGTGGGACAACAAGACAGCAGCGCCCTTGTATTCTACGAAAATCTGCAGTGTTCTTGCCCTTCTTGGGTTACAGACAGCGGATTCAGATTCTAAGCGGTATTTAGAACAAGATGTATACATGGGACCCCTCTCATTCTTTTCCGCGTCTTGAATTCAGTTCAAATCATATCGAAACAAAGTTCTTAGCCCCTTGACCTATCCACAATGTCTCAAATCCCAAATATCTAGATTCATGAGGATAGCCTTGATACAAATTAGAAAGACAGTGCGTGTCTTTAGCGTAACCGCTCATGTTTAATATGAGTAGAAACACTTGACTGTTAACTAAATGTTGGTATTAAAAGAGATGACTCTAAATTTGTTGAGGAAGATTTTCGTTGTGGATGAGCTTCAGGAAGTCATCGAGTAATTTATCGCTTTATCAAAGCGTGTTTGGTGCTAAGCTTCCGATTGAGTTGAAGGTTTATTTGTATCTGATATGCAACCTTACTCTAAGTACACATTGTACGATGAATTATTCCTGCTTATACCGCATCTATGAGCAGGATCTTTCACTTTTATAGAGCTCGGACGAATGGACACACTCCAAGTTGCATGGATAATGAGGATACATCTACTGGTTTCTCTTGTTAATCACTAAATGAAGAACGAAAGGAAAAATGCAGTCCGATGGCTGGAACTTAAGCTTTAACTGATTCCAGCGCAATACAGCTCTTCTCACTTCTTCGGGATTCCACTGGTGACTAACGCACCATTGAAAATCTG